AAATACAGCTATGTATAAATGGATAACTGATAAGTCTTACAGTCCCTTCTTAGCTGCCTCTTAAATGGCACTTCTGAATTTATCCAGAATTTTTCAGGGTCTCAACAGGGGAAAATTACCAGTTAAAGCCACCCGTTTTCCATTGAAATTATGGTTAAACCACTGTAATCTGGGGATTCACTGACCTGTGGCTACATTCTTCCCCTTTGCAAAAACACTGGAGGTTTTTAAGAAGATTGGGCAGCCCATTTGTCTGAAATGGTATAGATAGGGTTTCCTGCCTGAGCTGGGGGTTGGACTTGATGACCTCCAAGGTCCCTTCCAACTCTTGTTAATTTTGTTATTCTTGCTCAACTGAATTCATCTGGGTTTGTGGTCCTCTGAGAACCACAAATAAAAAAAACAAAGCAGCTGAGTTCACACGCTACTACATGAAGTCTGAATTAAGGCAACTGGCTCTGTTCAACAAACCCCAGTTAACCTCAATAAAGGAGAATAAAGGTTTAAATTAAGACGTCCTAGATGCTCTCTGAGCTGGGTGGTTTTCCTGCAGACGTTTTGTAACCCAAGTAGGTGACATCATCAGTGCTAGAAGAGAGGAGGAGGAGGAGGACTGTGGGGGGTCTTTGCTGCTCTCTGAGCTGGATGGTTTTCCTGCAGACGTTTTGTGACCCAGCTGAGTGACACCATCAGTGCTAGAAGGAAGGAGGACTGTGGGGGTCCTTGGTGCTCTCTGAGCTGGGTGGTTTTCCTGCAGACGTTTCGTGACCCAACTAGGTAACATCATCCATTCATAGTTTCTATATTGTAGAAACATACTATCGATTGCAAAAAAAAAAAAAAATTCTTTCAACAGAAAAAAAAAACCTGCAGTTAAGTTAGAAGTTTGCTTAGCGCTTCCTGGTTTGCATCTGCCAGTTTCATTACCTGACTGGCCAGCATCTTCACATGCTAGAGGGGAGCAGGGCTTGCTCTGTTTAACGACCAAGAAAAAAACATTCCCATCAGCCCTGGCAGGGCAAGCCCTTTGTGTATAAAAAGGGAGAAAACCCCACCTTCCTTCTAGCACGGATGATGTTAGCTGGACAGGTAAGGAAATGTCTGCAAGAAAACCATCAAAGAACACTAACAGCCCGTGTCCGTCCATCTCTCTGTCTTAGGCTAATCAAGGGCCCACCAAGACCATTCCCCACCAAGACTGACAGGGCAAGTTGGTTAGCACTGATGATGTTGCTTAGACCAGTGGTTCTCAACCTTTTTAATGCCACAACCCCCAACCGGTCGTAAGTCAAGGACTACTCAACCGGTCATAAGTCGAGGACTACTCAACTGGTGCAGCACCGTTTGCAGAATGGGACTTTTGGCGGGCTCAGCAGGGCAGAGACAGCCTGGACAATTCCTATTGGCTTTGGAAAGCCAATAGAATTAGACTCTATTCAAGAGAGTCTATTCTATTGGCTCTCAAAAGCCAATAGAATAAAAGGGAGGAGCACAGCTAAGGAAAAGGGGGGGGGAAAATGGCGGACTGCGTTGTTTGGCGACCCCCGTGAAATGGTCGTTCGACCCCAAATGGGGTCCTGACCCACAGGTGGAGAACCACGGGCTTAGACAGATAAGGAAACGTCTGTAAGAAAGCCACCAAGTTCAGAGAGCACCAGGGACCCCACCGTCCTCCTCTTCCTCTCCTGCTCCTTTCTGCTCTTTGTCCTTCTGACTCTCTTTCCCCTCCACTCCAAAAACCCCACCTAGCACTGATGATGTTACCTAGCTGGGTCATGAGACGCCTGCAAGGAAACCACCAAGCTTAGAGAGCACCCAGGACCCCACAGTCCTCCTCCTCCTCCCGTCTAGCACTGATGATGTTACCTAGTTGGGCAATGAAACGTCTGCAAGAACACAACCAAGCTCAGAGAACACCAGGGACCCCATAGTCCTCCTCCTCCCTTCAGCCCCCCACTCCCTTCTAGCACTGATGATGTTCCCTAGTTGGGTCATGAAATGTCTGCAGGAAAATCACCAAGTTCAGAAAGCACCAAGGACCCCCACAGTCCTCCTCCCTTCTAGCCCTGATGATGTTACCTAGTTGGGTCATGAAACTTCTGCAGGAAAACCACCCAGCTCAGAGAGCACCAAGGACCTCCCCAGTCCTCCTCCCCTCCTCCTCTTTCTGCTCTTTATCCTCCTGCTTCTTTCCCCTCCACTCCACAACTCTCTTTAGCACTGATGATGTCACCTAGCTGGGTCATGAAATGCCTGCAAGGAAACCACCAGGCTTAGAGAGCATGAAGGACCCCATAGTCTTCTTCTTTCTCTCACAAACTCCCTCCCTTCTATCACTGATGTTACCTAGATGGGTCATGAAATGTCTGCAAGAAAACCACCCAGCTCAGAGAGCACCAAGGAACCCCCCCAGTCCCCCTCCTCCTTTCTAGCCCTGATGATGTTACCTAGTTGGGTCATGAAACATCTGCAGGAAAACCACCCAGCTCAGAGAGCACCAAGGACCCCCCACAGTTCACCGCTGAGCTACACATATTCTCTTCTATCAGCCTTGCTCTTCATGGGGTTGGGTCTAAGAATGGCTTATCCCAAGGCAAGAAGACACAGATTTAACTTTTAAATATCTGTTCTAAGAGCGAGTGATCAAGCCAGCAATGAAACTTTAGCAAGGTCGGATCAAATAGGTGTATGCTTTTATTTGGTGGGATCTCTGCCTTCCCTAGATAAAATCTACAGGAGGCTGGAAGGGAAGATCCCAATAATTCTGAGCCAAGTTAGAAAAATATATAGGTAGTCCTTGACGTACAACCAGAGACCATTCAGTTACAGCAGCACTGAAAAAAAGGACTTATGCCTGTTTTTCGCATTTATGGGGCATCACCAGTCACAGGATCAAAATCAGGAGCACTTGGCAACTGGCATGTACTTATGACTGTTGCATTGTCCCTAATCACCATATGTAACTTTCCCAACCAGCTTCTGACAAGCAAAGTCAACAGGGAAAGCCAGATTCACTTAACAACTGCGACAATTTGTTTACCAACTGGGGGGGGGAGATTGTAAAAAGGGGCAAAACTCAAAATTATCTTGCTTAGCACTGAAATTTTGGACCCCTTTGTGGTTATAAGGACTATTTGTGGCACGTGTAGATAAGAATATAGTATCCCCCAGGCTGTTGGAAGTGGGGCAGCGTACATACATGCTATTATTATTAAAATTTTAGTTTCAACCAGAACCCCAGGATGACAACAAAAAAATAACTTTTTTGTAGCTGAGCTTTTCCTAAAAAGATGGAATGTTAAAACAACTAGGATATGTATAAACTAAAAATTATTGATAAACGTAAGCTATTTTATTTAATCGATATAATCAGAATTGGATTAATTTAAATCTGAGACAGTAAATACCATGGGGAAAAGAGAGGAAATATTTAAGGTAATAGTTTGAGATCTGTACGAAAGATATTTGTATGTTATTGAATTACTGAACAACTCAGCCGCCACGTTGCTTTTCCAATATTTAAATGTAAAACGAGAAAACCAATACATTTTTCTTAAAAAAAGGAAAGAAAAAAATATATAGTATCTACCTGGTTATTGAAAGTGGGGCAGCGTACATGTCTATTATTATTAAAATTTTAGTTTCAACCAGAATCCCATGACAACAAAAATAACTTTTTTGTAGCTGAGCTGAACTCTTGGCGACTTTATCAATGCATCCAAGTCGTTTTCTTAAAAGAAGTGGTTTGCCACTGCCTTTTTTTCAACATCCCAGTCTAGTTTACAGGGTAGTCCTCAACGTACGACCACCATTAAGCCCAAAATTTCTGTTGCTAAATGAGACAGTGTTTTGCACCATTTTAGGATCTTTCTTATCATAGTTAATTAGTTAATTAATTAATCAGTGGAACAGCTTGCCTCCAGAAGCAGTAAATGCTCCAACACTGGAAGTTTTTAAGAAGAGACTGGACAGCCATTTGTCCGAAATGGTGTAGGGTTTCCTGCCCGAGCAGGGGGTTGGACTAGATGACCTCCAAGGTCCCTTCCGACTTTATTATTATTATTAACAACCTGCCTCCAGAAGTGGTGACTGCTCCAACACTGGAAGTTTTTAAGAAGAGACTGGACAGCCATTTGTCTGAAATGGTGTAGGGTTTCCTGCCCGAGCAGGGGGTTGGACTAGATGACCTCCAAGGTCCCTTCCGACTTTATTATTATTATTAACAACCTGCCTCCAGAAGTGGTGACTGCTCCAACACTGGAAGTTTTTAAGAAGAGACTGGACAGCCATTTGTCTGAAATGGTGTAGGGTTTCCTGCCCGAGCAGGGGGTTGGACTAGATGACCTCCAAGGTCCCTTCCGACTTTATTATTATTATTAACAACCTGCCTCCAGAAGTGGTGAATGCTCCAACACTGGAAGTTTTTAAGAAGAGACTGGACAGCCATTTGTCCAAAATAGTGTAGGGTTTCCTGCCCGAGCAGGGGGTTGGACTAGATGACCTCCAAGGTCCCTTCCAACTTTACTACTATTATTATTATTATAGTTACTAAGTGAATCCCTGCCACTGTCAAGTTAATAACATTGTTAAATGAACCTGGCTTCCACATGGTCAGGTCGCCAAAGGGGATCACGTGACCCCGGGACACCGCAACTGTCCTAAGTACATGTCAGTTGCCAAGCCTCTTAATTTTGATCACGCGGCCATGGGGATGCTGCAACGGTTGCGTGAAAAATGGTCACGCAACCGTTGCAGCATCCCCACGGCCATGTCCCTTTTTCAGCGTCGTCGTAATTTCCAAACAGTAACTCAACAAATAGTTGCAATTCAAGGACTAGCTCTATAGCCCTGGGAGTACAGCCTTTAAACTTAAGATAGATTGGTCTCCCACTTAACTACTAACCAGATCCAACTAAGCGTAGCATTTGTTCCGGAGATCCACCTGATGCTGCAACCAGTTAAAATTATCCTATTTTGCAGTCAATTAAAAAAGATGCAGGTTGGGCAACATAGAAATGTTTATTAATATAAAAAGCGTTCGTCAGATTTAATACTGCAACAGTAAAGCTGGCATAATTTTCTGAAGTTTCGTTACAAAAGATTGTGCTTCGTTTTAAAGTAAGCCACGATAATTAGGAAAAAAAAATATTAAAAAAAAATTAAGATGAATTAAAATTTTGGGAGTAAGAAATGATGGTTGGGGAGGGGGTGGGTGTTTCCCTCTATTTAAACGGAACGCAAAGCAACACAGCCGAGCAAGTCAATATCCTAAACTGTGGTTTGAAAACTTGGGGTACCGTTGTGTGTTTTTTTTTTTTCTAAAGCGTCCGAGAAGGTCTAAAAAAAAAAAACTCTCCCTCGGTCCGAGTTCAAGTTTATTCACCGGAAGAAAGTCCCCAGCTTAAGAAGCTCGGTGGCAGACTTGAAATTCAGAACATTGGCGGAGAACAAGCGAAGTTGTTTCTCCAATTGCTTCAGGGAGGAAGTGGTCGGCTTGTGCTTGTAAGACACCTCGCTTAAAAGCTTGTTTGCCAAGTAGTGAAGCCACAGAATATTGCTGTGGGGGAAATAATCGGCCCAGTTGTTTGCATTCTCTTCTCTCATCTGCCTATAAATGTCAAACTGGTAATCCCCTCCCCCTTGGAATACTTCGTCGTCGGTGGAAAGGTCGCAAAACACTGTTAGACCGTCCCTCTCCAGCCTGGAAAAGGTATAGTCTATGATGTTCACCAGAATGCCTTGAGTGGGAAGGACGTGGACTTCCCCGTTCAAGGTAACGGCCACCTCTTTCAAGCTGGTTTTCCTCACCAGCACATTGCCCCAGTGTAAGTCTCGGTGTTCAAAGCGGAGGGCTTCCTCCGCCACGGCCAGCGAAGCCGTGACCTGGTGTAGGATGCTCTTTGCCGAAGCCACCGAACTCAGCTGCCGACTCCTCATGTTCTCCAGATCCGTGCCTCCAAACTCAAATTCCAGGACCATGAACAGCTGCTCTTCGCTGAAGAAATCTGGCCGGTTGTTTTCGGACTGCCTCAGCCGGTGGTATTCGTCCCAGGCGTTCAAGAAATGCTCGGGGTAAGTGCCTCGGACGCAATGAATGGAATACAACCGGATAAAGCCCGACGTTCGGTTAGTCACCTCATCGGCGAGGAGACTCAGTTCTTTGGAAATAATGATCTCCGGCAAGATTTCGGTGAAGGTCTTCTGCGGTTCGCCGTTGACTCGCTCGCTCCCTTCGATTGGGATTATTTTCAAAGCCACGGTCCCTCTTTCAGTCTCGGTCTTGAAAACCTCCCCAAACACTCCCTCCCCGATTTTTTCACACTTGGGCATCTTCTCTTGGGAAACCCACTCCTCAAAGGAGACGGGCCCCTTCTGCTGGCACTCTCGGTAGACCTTTTCAGCGTCCGTCAAGGTCATCTCTGACATGGAGAGGGACGTCATGGACGACAGCAACACCATGGAGGAAGATGGACAGATGGAGTAGCCCAGCTTTTGAGTGAAAGGGGTATCGCAAGCCTTGGGGAGAGGAGATTGGATCGAGTAAATGCTGGCGGCGCTGCCGTTCAAGCTTTCGGCTTCCGAGAGGATTTTTTTCTTCTTGTGGAGGGAAAAAGAGGCCCGGATTCTCCGCCACAAGCTGGAATTCTTGAGGGAGGAGTCCAAAGGTAGGAAAGAGACGGAAAGATGGTCTTCGACCTCATTCCACTTCAGCCGCTCCTGCAGGAGGAAAGAATCCACCTGCTGCTGCTTCCAGCCCGTGTTCTTCTGGGGTGCCGTTCGATCCACTTTCTGGCACCCCCAACGTTTAGCACTGAAGCCGCTAATGCATGCTTTTCGGCCAGTACCTCCAGGATTACAACTGGGGGCCACTCGGTGGTTATTCCTGGAAGTAGAGGTTTTAGTCAGGACATGGGGAGTCTGGAAAAGCTTCTTTCCCTTCCAGGAACGGGAAGCCTTTTGCTTTCCGGCGGACCGATTAGCCAACCAGCTCAAAACCACCTGGTCATCCAGAACCACCACTGGCTGGAACTGGGGGCTGTCTGAAACAACACTGCAGATGCTCACTCCTTCCGAAGGCCTACCAAGCTCGTCGGCCCTCTCCTCGGGAGCACCAACGACCTGAGCCAAGCTCAGCTCTGGCTCCCGCACAAGAAAAACGGTCCCTTTTCGCGGGGAGAGAGCAATTTTACCATCCTGGATTCGGGCTTGAACTTGGAAAACGCCGCGAACGGAAGTATGGGCCACGGGGCTGGCTTCGGTCAAGAGCGACGACGCCGGAGCACCGTCCTGATCGGACCCTTGCTCTCGTTGGACCGGAGAGGCTTCCGTCTCCCTCGGAGGCTGGCAACCCTGCAACGTGCTTTGGAAGGCACAGCCGGTCGTCCCCCCGAAGCATTCCTGACGCGCAGGGCCCGCCGAGGAACCGTCCTGCGGCAACTCCCGGGGACGTCGCCCGGCTTCCTCCTCCTCCAGGCTGAAGACGTCCAAAGAGTCCCCCATCTCCAGCGCCTCCGTCTCCAACTTCAGCAGGCTCAGCCCCACGAGGACCCCATGGTGGGACTGCCGGCTGCCTTCTCGGAACACCTCCCACGGGGGGCTGTAGCGGCGGCAACAATCCGGAGAGTGGGAGACGGGGCTGTGGGGCTTCTTCTCGTCCTCTTCCTCCTCCTGGAGGGTCCAAGGCCTCCTGACCCTCGCTGGGGTGAGGAGGGGCAATTCAGGCGTGCTACAGAGCAGAGGAGCCTCCCGCAGGCCCGTGGGGCCCCTGGGGCCAGGTGGGGGGCCCTTCTCGCGCCGGCGACAGGTGACGTTCCTGCGGAGGGGGGTGGGGGGCACGAAGGGGCCGCCGCCCTGGCTCCCTTTGGGGGGAGGCCGGTTCTCCTTGGGGGGCCCCTGGCTCTTCTTCCTCTGCTTCTTCTTCTTCTTCCCCCCCTTTTTGGCGGGAGGCTTCCGGGCCTTGGGGGCCTTGGCGGGCGGGCGGAAATCCGGGTCGTCGTCGTCGTCGAGGGAGGGGGCCAAGGAGGGCGAGGAGCAGGAGCCCCCCCCGGAGGAGCTGGTGCTGAAGAGGCGCTTGGGGTCGGCCGGGGGCGAGATCCAGGGCGCCGCCCGCGGCAGGAGCCTCAGCCCGGCCTTGCCTCCCGCTCCTCCTCTTCCTCCGCCGCGGCTCGCTCGCCCCCTCAGCCCCGCGTAGGTCCTCAGCAGCCGCGGCCGCAGCTGCTCCATGCGAGCGGAGCCTCCCGGCCTGCGGAGACACGCGAAAGGGGGGCCGGACGGAGGCGGACCCGAATCCGGACCCGACCCCCCCGTCCTCCTCTCCGTTAAGGCCTCCCGGCCCTCAGCCAGGCCGAGCGGGGCCTCGGAAGGCCGCGCCCGCCGCCATTTCAAATCCACCTCTCGCGAGAGGAGAGGCGGGTCTCGCGAGAGGCCGGCAGTTTCTCCCACTGTCTCTCTCTCTCTCCTCCCCCCTCCCCGCGCGCGCGGCCTCGAGGTCTCGCGGGATTTCGAGGCGGCGCGAAGGGCGGCCGCTCAGTTCTCGCGAGATCGGCGGGTGGAGGATCTGTCGGAGAAGTTCATAGAGGAAAGAGGGGAAGCGCGGCTCGGCGTCGTGACGTCCGGTTTGGGTTTGAGAAGGGGGGGGGGAGAGAGAAAAACTGTCCTCCATTTGAGTGGTCAAAGGGGGTGCTTTTGCTTCACGGCGGGGGGGGGGGGACAGCCTTCAAAACACCAAGGTTAGGCCGGTCAAATCCAGCAGGGCGTTGAGCATGTGCAGAGAGCACGCCTGGCTTCACTTAACAACCAGATGATTCACTTATTAACAACCCTGGCAAGACTGGTCGTCAAACCAGGGGGGACTCACTTATCCACCGCCTTGCACAGCAACAGAAACTGTGGTTCCAATTCTTGTCATAAGTCGAGGACTTATAACTGGACCGAGCCCTGTGGAATCGTAACTTGCAAAGTCCGGTTTGCAGGTAGTCCTCGACTTACAGTCGTTCCTTTAGTGACCGTTCGAAGTGGCAATGGCATTGAAAACATTTACAACTGTTTTTCACACTTAACGGCCGTTGCAGCCAGATTCACTTAACCATAGCATAACTGCAGCGATTCACTTAACAACTGTGGCATGAAATTGTCGTCAAATGGGGCAAAATTCGGTTAGCAACTGTCTTATGGAGCAACAGAAATGTTTGGCTCAATTGTGGTCGTAAGTCGAGGACCACCGGCATTTAAACAGGACTTGCCTGGTCTACATGCCAGCTTGGTCTCCAGAGACTCTTCTCTTATTAAGACCTGCTGAAGATTTGCTCCAAGCCTCACTGCTGCCGAGGACCACTTAGATTGTATATATTTCTTTCCTTTTTGGAAGCAGCTTTCTTCAGCAGCGCATGCCAGCATCCCAGCCGGATAAAAAAGAATAGCATAGGGAATGGAATAGGAACAGGAATTGGAAAGAAACTGAAAGAACAGAATATAATGGAATGGAATAGGAATAGGGATGGAACAGAACTGAAGGAATGGAATGGAATAGAATAGAATTCGGAATAGAATAGAATAGAATTCGGAATAGAATAGCAATAGAATAGCATAGAATTCAGAATAGAATAGGAATAGAATAGAATAGGAATAGAATAGACTAAAATTCGGAATAGAATAGAATTCGGAATAGAACTCGGAATAGAATAGAATTCGGAATAGAATAGAATAGAATTCGGAATAGAATAGGAATAAAATAGCATAGAATTCAGAATAGAATAGAATAAAATTTGGAATAAAATAGAATAGAATTGAGAATAGAATAGAATTCAGAATAGAATAGAAATCAGAATAGAATAAGAATAGAATAGAATAGAATTTGGAATAAAATAGAATAGAATTCATAATAGAATAGAATTCATAATAGAATAGAATTCATAATAGAATAGGAATAGAATAGAACAATAGAATAGAATTCGGAATACAATACAATACAATTTGGAATAGAATAGAATAGAATTTGGAATAGAATAAAATAGAATTCAGAATAGAATGGAATAGAGAACTTTGTCCCTTTAAATGTATACCAATCAGCATAAATTAAAATGAAATTTCGCTCCCTTCAGCTCTCAAAAAACTACCATTATGCATGTACCCCCCCACACGCACACACACTCGTGACACACAGAAACATCAAAATCCAATTTTCAAAGTCCAGCCAATGGAAGAAAGAGGGGTTTTCCCCCACATATCTTCACCCCACCCGACTTTCCCTCAGCTGCAGCCCTGCCTCATTTGCTTGAAAAGGAAGACTAGGGGTGACATGTTACAGTATTCCAGTACTGTATTTGAGGGACTGCCCCAAAGAAGAGGGAGTCAAGCTATTCTCCAAAATACCTGAAGGCAGGACAAGAAGCAACAGATGGAAACTAATCAAGGAGAGAAGCAACCGAGAACTAAGGAGAAACTTCCTGACAGTTAGAACAATTAACCATTGGAACTCCTTGCCTCTAGAAGTGGTGAATGCTCCAACACTGGAAGTATTTAAGAAGAGACTGGACAACCCATTTGTCTGAAATGGTATAGGACTTCCTGCCTGAGCAGGCGGTTAGACTAGATGACCTCCATGGTCCCTTCCAACTCTATTATTCTGTATTCTGTATAGGCATCCTAGTGGACAATCCATTAAATAGGAGCCAGCCGTGTGCTGCAGCTGCCAAAAAAGCCAACACATGCTGGGCTGCATTAACAGAGGAACAGAATCAAGATCATGTGAAGCATTAATATCACTTTACAAGGCCTTGGTAAGGCCACACTTGGAATACAGCATCCAGTTTTGGTCACCACAATGTAAAAAAGATGTTGAGACTCTAGAAAGAGTGCAGAGAAGAGAAACGAAGATGATCAGGGGACTGGGGGCTAAAACATATAAGGAACGGTTGCTGGAATTGGGTATGTCTAGTCTAATGAAGAGAAGGACGAGGGGGGACATGATAGCAGTGTTCCAGTATCTCAGGGGCTGCCCCAAAGAAGAGGGAATCAAGCTATTCTCCAAAGCCACCTGAAGGCAGGACGAGAAACAATGGTTGGAAACTGATCAAGGAGAGAAGCAACCTGGAACTAAGGAGAAACTTCCTGACAGTGAGGACAATTAACTAGTGGAACAGCTTGCCATCCGAAGCTGTGGATGCTTCAACACAAGAAGAGACTGGACAGCCATTTGTCTGAAATGGGATAGGGCTTCCTGCTTGAGGAGGGGGTGGACTAGAAGACCTCCAGGGCCCCTTCCAGCTCTATTTTGAATTTGAAAAGCAAGCCTTTAGTGCCAGATCTGCAGGGAGAATGCTTTAGAACAGGCTGGCATTCCTGCTGTGCTCGCCTGGCGGGTTGTTTCCTTTGAACTTTCTCCATTGCAGCATCTCTTCCAGCATCCAGCGCACTCGCTGGCTCGCTCCAGGCATCTGCCAGAAATGGATCAGCTCTCCTGGAAAGCCTTGTGCTTCTCGCTTTTCGATTACAAAACCGAAAAGTATGTCATTGCAAAGAACAAGAAAGTGGGCATTCTCTACCGGGTGGTCCAGCTCTCCATCCTGATCTACATCGTGGGGTGAGGATGTCGTCTCTTGTTATTTTATCAAAATAACGCGGCTCCTTCTGTCAGATTTGCAGCCTGGGGCTCAAGCCGAGAGCTGCCGTGTGGGAAGGCAAGAAGGGAAGGTGGTGAAAATAGAGAGGAGAGGGGGTGTCTTTCTTCCATCTGAAAAAAGGGAGATTTTTGTCCAGGTCTCCATCCATCCATCCCTGGCTGGCTGGCTGGATTGGTCTGGGTGCAAAACCCTGTTTGGGAAGCTGGCGAATGCAATTCAGCTGTCCTACGGAGCAGCTGCTGACTTGGAATTGCTGGAGGCAGGTTTTTCCTGTTCCATTCAGGAGAAGATCTGCAGATCTGCATTTTGTGTGGCCCTGTGAATTCCATGGAGTCTGTTTTCCTTTCCTTTCCTTTCCTTCCTTCCTTTCCTTCCTTTTCTTTCCTTTCCTTTCTTCCTTTCTTTCCTTCCTTTCTTTCTTTCCTCCCTCCCTCCCTCCTTCCTTCCTTTTCTTTCTTTCTTTCTCTACAGAGATAGGCTAGAGTTTTCTAAACCGATGAGAATCTGATACAGAAGCCCTTCTACCATGATCACTGTGTCTTTTTTTTAACACTTGAAAACTTACTTCCTTTTATAATGATTTTATTTTATTTTGTCTTTCTTAATCTGTTTCCTTGGATCTGTGATTCTGGAGATAAGATAGAAGATGAGAGAGGATGGATAGATAGATGGATGGATAGATCATTTTTTCCTTCCTTCCTTCCTTCCTTCCTTCCTTCCTTCCTCTTTCCTTCACTCCTTTCTTCCTTCCTTTCGTTCTTCCCTTCCTTCCCTTCCTCCCTGCTTCCTTCCTTCCTCTTTCCTTCCCTCCTTCCTTCCTTCCTTCTTTTCTTCTTCTCTTCCTTCCCTCCCTCCCTGCTTCCTTCCTTTCTTCCCTCCTTCCCTCCCTTCTTCCTTCCTTCCTTCCTTCCTTCGTTCCTTCCTCTCCATTTCTTCCTTTTCTTTCTTTCCTGCCTCCCTCCCCTTTCCTTTCTTCTTTCCTACTTTTCTCCCTCCCTCCCTCCCTTTTCTCCTTCCTTCTTTCCCCCTCCTTCCCTCCCTCCCTGCTTCCTTCCTTTCTTCACTCCTTCCCTCTCTTCTTCCTTCCTTCCATCCTCCTTCCTTCCTCTCCAGTTCTTCCTTTTCTTTCTTTCCTCCCTCCCTCCCTTTTCCTTTCTTCTTTCCTACTTTTCTCCCTCCCTCCCTCCTTCCCTCCCTCCCTTCCTCGCTCTGTTTCTACTCCTTCCTTCCTTCCTTTCTTCCTTTTCTTCCTTCCTGTGGCTCAGCGAGACAGGTATTAAATGAGTTTGGCCACCTTTCCTGCCCCAGTTGTTAAGTGAATCATGGCAGTTGTTGAGTTCATAACACCATGGTTAAGGGAGTCTGTCTTTCCCCCATGGACTTTGCTTGCCAGAAGGTCGCAAAAGGGGATCACGTGACCCCCCCCAGGACACTGTGACCATCATAAATAGAGGTCAGTGGCCAAGCCTCTGGATTTTGATCCTGGGATCACGGGGAGGCTGCAATGGTCGTGTGAAAAACAGTCATAAGTAACCTTTTTCAGTGCCGTTGTAACTTGGAACGGTCACTAAATGAACTGTTGTAAGTCGAGGACTCCCTGTAAGCTGTTTCCTGAGGATAGAGACAGTAGATGGGTGGAGAAGTAACTTGAGTTTGATGATGATGATGATGATGATAATAATAATAATAATAATAATAATAATAATAATAATGAAATGAAAGAACTAGTAATAACAACAAAAATGGTAGAAAAAAGAGCAAAGAAAATCAAAAATTGGTCAGCACCAGGTGAAGATGAACTGCATGGGTTTTGGTTGAAACATCTAACTGTTATACACCCACTCATTGCCAAGCAGTTCAACAATATACTACAAGGAGGAGAAATTGAAAAGTGGCTAACAACTGGGAAAACCTACCTAATAATGAAAAATCCAGCAAAAGGGGCAACACCAGGTAACTACAGGCCAATTACCTGCTTACCAACAACTTTCAAATTACTAACTGGTGTAGTAGCTGATGCAGTGCAACAGCATCTAGTTGAAAACAATCTCTTTCCACCTGAGCAGAAAGGAAACCGCCCCAATAGCAGAGGAACAAAAGATCAACTCCTAATAGACAAAATGATCTTGGAAAACTGCAAGAGAAGGAAGACCAACCTGAATGTGGCATGGATTGACTACAAAAAGGCATTTGACTCTCTGCCACATGATTGGATAATAAAGTGCCTAGAAATAACAGGAGTCAGTAGAAACATCAGAAAATTTGTGCAAAGATCGATGGCACAATGGAAGACACAGTTGCAGATCAATGGTGAGAGGCTGGGAGAGGTTAATATCAAGAGAGGAATATTTCAAGGAGATTCATTATCACCATTACTATTTGTTATTGCACTGTTTCCTCTGTCAACAATACTGAATAACTCAGGACATGGCTATCAAACATCAAAAACATCTGCCAGACTATCCCACCTCCTTTATATGGATGATCTGAAGCTGTATGGAAAAACATCATCTGAAATAGAATCGCTGCTCAACACTGTCCGTATATATAGCCAAGATATTGTAATGGAGTTTGGCTTGGACAAATGTGCCACACTTACTATCAAACAAGGAAAAATAATGAAAACTGAAGGAATCAAGATGCCCCACGAAAATAACATTAAGAGTCTGGATGAGGAAGAGTACTACAAATACTTGGGTATCCTTCAAGCTGACAACATCAAGCACACTGAAGTCAAGAAAAAGATTAGAGGTGAATACATCAAGAGAGTGAAGAAGATCTTAAAATCCAAACTCAATGGAGGAAATACCATAAAGGCAATCAACACCTGGGCAATCCCAGTCATTAGGTACACAGCTGGAATAGTGGACTGGACTCAAGCAGAACTAAAAGCAATGGATAGGCAGACCAGAAAAATAATGACAATGAATCATGCCCTTCATCCACGCAGTGACATTGATAGACTTTATCTACCAAGGCAAATAGGTGGGCGTGGAATGCTACAAGTACATCAGATGGTTGAAGAAGAAAAAATGGCTTTGGAAGAATATCTGAAGAACAATGATGAAGATGCACTGAAATTAGTATATCAGGAAGGCTTACTAACTACTGGAGAGACCAAACTGGCCTACAAGAAAGACCAAATGAAGAACAGAATAGAGGCATGGGAAGACAAAGCACTACATGGCCAATACATGAAAAAAATAGCTGGGAAAGCAGATAACAATAAAACCTGGCAATGGCTAAGAGCAGGAAAATTGAAGAAAGAGACCGAGGGACTAATTCTGGCTGCACAAGACCAAGCCTTAAGGACAAATGCATACAAAGTCAAAATTGAGAAGACAGCAACAGACAGTAAGTGCCGCCTATGCAAAGAAGCTGAAGAAACAGTGGACCACTTGGTAAGCTGTTGCAAGAAGATTGCACAAACTGATTACAAGCAGCGGCATGACAAAGTAGCAACAATGGTGCATTGGAAGATCTGCAAAAAATATCATTTGCCTGTAAGCAAAAACTGGTGGGATCATAAAATAGAGAAAGTCATAGAAAATGATAAAATTAAACTGCTCTGGGACTTCAGAATTCAAACAGACAAGCACCTGCAACATAACACCCCAGACTTAACAATTGTCGATAAGAAAGACAAAAAAGTCTGGATAGTGGACGTGGCAGTGCCTGGAGACAGCAGAATAGAAGAGAAAGAACTGGAGAAGATAACAAAATACAAAGACCTACAAATAGAAATAGAAAGACTGTGGCAAAAGCAAGCAAGGGTAGTACCAATAGTCATAGGCTCCTTGGGTGCAATCCCAAAACAACTGGAGCACCACTTGAACACCATTGGCATTGACAAATTCGCTATTAGTCAATTGCAAAAGGCGGCCTTATAGGAACTGCTTCCATCCTGCGACGATATCTGTAATACCATCAAACATCCACATCTGCCTATCCCAGGTCCTGGGTAAGGACTCGATAGGTAGACAAAATGCCAAATCCAGTCTGAACATCTGGCTGACTGTGCGATGATCGATAATAATAATAATAAAAAGTTGGAAGGGACCTTGGAATAATAAGACCAAGCCTTAAGGACAAATGCATATAAAGTCAAAATTGAGAAGACAGCAACAGACAGTAAGTGCCGCCTATGCAAAGAAGCTGAAGAAACAGTGGACCACCTGGTAAGCTGTTGCAAGAAGATTGCACAGACTGACTACAAGCAGCGGCATGACAAAGTAGCAACAATGGTGCATTGGAAGATCTGCAAAAAATATCATTTGCCTGTAAGCAAAAACTGGTGGGATCATAAAATAGAGAAAGTCATAGAAAATGATAAAATTAAACTGCTCTGGGACTTCAGAATTCAAACAGACAAGCACTTGCAACGTAACACTCCAGACTTAACAATTGTCGATAAGAAAGACAAAAAAGTCTGGATAGTGGACGTGGCAGTGCCTGAAGACAGCAGAATAGACGAGAAAGAACTGGAGAAGATCACAAAATACAAAGACCTACAAATAGAAATAGAAAGACTGTGGCAAAAGCAAGCAAGGGTCGTACCAATAGTGATAGGCTCCTTGGGTGCAATCCCAAAACAACTGGAGCACCACTTGAACACCATTGGCATTGACAAATTTGCTATTAGTCAATTGCAAAAGGCGGCCTTGCTAAGAACTGCTCCCATCCTGCGACGATACCTGTAATACCATCAAACATCCACATCTGCCTATCCCAGGTCCTGGGTAAGGACTCGATAGGTAGACAAAATGCCAAATCCAGTCTGAACATCTGGCTGACTGTGTGATGATCCATAATAGTAATAATAATAAAATAAATAAATAGAAGTTGGAAGAGACCTTAGAGGTCATCTAGTCTAACCCCCTGCTCAGGCAGGAAACCCCTATACCATTTCAGATAAAAAACGAATATTCACGCTGACATCATCTATTACCTATAACTATTATCATATTTTTTTCCTGGAAGGTATGAAAATGAAGGAATCTCTTCACCTGCAGGAACCCCTTCCAATATTTTCTGGGTGAGAAATTCCTCCCGTATATACTGAATAAAGAATAATTTTAACGAGCCTTGATTATCGGTTTGGAGGTCCTGCATTTGATTCCACCGTGACAGGTGGTCCTTGACTTACGACCTCAATTGGAGCCCAAAATTTCCATCGCTAAGCGGGACAGGCGCTAAGCAAGGTTTGCCCCATTTGACGACCTTTCTCGCCACCGTTGTTAAGTGAATCCCCGCCGTTGTTAAGTGAGTCGCCCAATTGTTCAACAAATTTGTCTTCCTCTGTTGATTTAGCTTGTCGGAAGGTTGCAGAAGGGGATCGCACGATCCCGGGACACTGCGACCGTCATAAATACCAGCGTCGGACTTTTAATCCCGTGATCCCGAGGAGACTGCAACGGTCGTAAATGTGAAAAACAGTCGTCCCTTTTTTTCAGCGCCGTTGTAACTTGGAACGGTCACTAAACGAATGGATTCCGCGCCGGCAACTTTCAAGGCCCAGAATTCCCCAGCCAGCATTTCCTCTGAAAAGTTGCTGAGGGTTGAGGAAACGCTGTTCTAACTAAGGCAGTGGTTCTCAACCTTTTTAATGCCGCCACCCCCAACCGGTCGTAAGTCGAGGACTACTCAACCGGTCGTAAGTCGAGGACTACTCAACTGGTGCAGCACCGTTTGCAGAATGAGACTTTTGGCGGGCTCAGCAGGGCAGAGACAGTCTGGACAATTCCTATTGGCTTTGGAAAGCCAATAGAATTCGACTGTATTCAAGAGGGTCTATTCTATTGGCTTTCAAAAGCCAATAGAATAAAAGGGAGTAGCACAGCTAAGGAAAAGGGGGGGGAAATGGCGGACTGCGTTGCTTGGCGACTCCCGTGAAATGGTCGTTCGACCCCAAATGGGGTCCCGAGCCACAGGCTGAGAACCACTGAACTAAGGCAAAACTTGGTAAATCGGAAGACGTCGCTCTTATTGTGCAAATTGATTGTCTCTCCATCACACCGGCTGCATTTTATTACAGCCTCTCCAGGGTTTTGTGTGGTTGTTTGCTTTCCATCAGCTACTCTGATTTTTTGCCTTTAGCTGTTTGGATCAAAAGCCAGACTGACGCAACGGAGTGCCAAATTTTTCCAGGACCGTCGTAGCTTTGAACGGTCACTAAATGAATGGCTGTAAGCCGAGGCTCCCTGTACTTCCATTTTTTTAATTCTTGCAAGGAGTCTTCAGCAGCCTCAGGCAATTTCACCACCATCATCATCATCATCATTATCATCATCAAGTTGGAAGGGACTTGTGAGGTCATCTAGTCCAACCCCCTGCTCAGGCAGGAAATCCTACACCATTTCAGACAAATGGCTGTCCAGTCTCTTCTTAAAAACTTCCAGTGTTGGAGCATTCACCGCTTCTGGAGGCAGGTTGTTCCACTGATTAATTGTTCTCACTGTCAAGAAATTTCTCCTTAGTTCTAGGTTGCTTCTCTCCTGGATTAGTTTCCATCCATTGCTTTTTGTCCGGCCTTCAGGTGCTTTGGAGAATAGCTTGACTCCCTCTTCTTTGGGGCAGCCCCTGAGATACTGGAAGACTGCTATCCTGTCCCCCTTCGTCCTTCTCTTCATCAAATGAGACATACCCAGTTCCAGCAACCATTCCTTATATGTTTTAGCCTCCAGTCCCCTAATCATCTTTGTTGCTCTTCTCTGCACTCTTTCTAGAGTCTCAACATCTTTTTTACATTGTGACCAAAATTGCATGCCATATTCCAAGTGTGGCCTTACCAAGGCATTGTAAAGTGGTATTAACTGTTCAGGTGATCTTGATTCTATCCCTCTGTTAATGCAGTCTAGCATTGTGTTGACTTTTCTGGCAGCTGCAGCACACGGCTGGCTCATGTTTAAATGTTTGTCCACTGGGACACGAAGATCCCTCTCACAGTTACTGCTATTGAGTCAGGTACCCCCTATACCAGTGGTTCTCAACTTTTTTAATGCCGCGACCCCCAACCGGTCGTAAGCCGAGGACTACTCAACCGGTCGTAAGTCGAGGACTACTCAACGGGTGCAGCACCGTTTGCAGAATGGGACTTTTGGCGGGCTCAGCAGGGCAGAGACAGCCTGGACAATTCCTATTGGCTTTGGAAAGCCAATAGAATTGGACTCTATTCAAGAGAGTCTATTCTATTGGCTTTCAAAAGCCAATAGAATAAAAGGGAGTAGCACAGCTAAGGAAAAGGGGAGAAAAATGGCGGACTGCGTTGTTTGGCGACCCCCGTGAAATGGTCGTTCGACCCCAAATGGGGTCCCGACCCACAGGTTGAGAACCACTGCCCTATACTATACCTGTGCATTTGGTTTTTCTTGCCTAAATGTAGAACCTTGCTTTTTTCACCACTGAATTTCATTTTGTTAGATAGCACCCAGTGTTCAAGTCTGTCCAGATCCTCCTGTATCCTAAGCCTGTCTTCTGGAGTGTTGGCTGTTCCTGCCAGCTTGGTGTTGTCTGCAAATTTGATGAGTTCCCCATCTATCCCCTCGTCCAGATCGTTGATGAAGATGTTGAAGAGCACTGGGCCCAAAACAGAGCCCTGGGGCACCCCACTACACACTTCCCTCCATGCAGATGCGGTTCCATTGAGGACCAAGTACGCTCTATTTCTGCTAAAATACAACAATATGCAAAATTCGTATTTTCCTTTGGCTAAATCTCATCCATTGCTTCGTTAGATGGCTGCCTTACATGTTTCTTTTTATTAGGACAATACAGGTAGTCCTCGACTTACGACCACAATCGGGCCCCAAATTTCCACTGCTAAGCGAGACGGTGGTTGTGAATTTTGCCTCATTTAGCGACCGTTCTCACCCCGTTATTAAGTGAATCGCTGCAGTTGTTAAGTCAGGAACACAGTTGTTAAGTGAATCTGGCTTCCCGCCCATTGGCTTTACTTGTCAGAAGTCACAAAAAGAGATCACGTGACCTCAGGACCCTGCGACCGTCAGTAGTGTGAGTCATGTGCCAGGGGTCTGCCTTTTGACCATGGGAATGTGCCAGGCGGTCGTTAAGTGTGAAAAGTGGTCCTACGTCCTTTTTCAGTGCCGTTGTAACTTCGAACGGTCAGTGAATGGACCGTCATAAGTCGGGGACTGGCTGTAAACCCTACAATGAATCTGAGTGCCAGTAATTCTTCATCCCTCACCTGGTCTACACGGAAGGGACGAAGAACAGATCCCAACGAGCTTTGGGTTAAGCAGCTCCAGAGAAGAGGGTTGCCTTCCTGTTGATGGGTCTCTTCCACCAATGAGCAGATCTTCCATTGGGAAGGTCTTCTGAGAAGGAATCACAGAATGTGAGGCCTGCAAGGACCCTGTGAGACTGGACAGCCCTTTGTCTGAAAGGGTACAGGGGTTTCTTGCCTGAGCAGGGGGTTGGGCTAGATGACCTCCAAGGTCCCTTCCAACTTATTGTTGTTGTTTTTGTCGTCTAGTCCAACCCCCTGTCCAGGGCTGGGATATACACTTCCAATGTCCCTGAAAAAGATGGCCATCCTGACTTACTTACTTTTTTTTCTTTCTTTTTTCTTTCTTTTTCTTTCTTTTTTCCTTCCTTCCTTCCTTCCTTCCTTCCTTTTTCTTCTCCTTCCTTCCTTCTCTCTCTCTCTCCCTCCCTTTCTTTCTTTTTCTTTCTCTCCCTCCCTTTCTTTTTTCTCTCTCTCCTTCTGTCCCTCCCTCCCTCCCTCCTTTCTTTCTTTCTTTCTTTCTTTCTTTCTTTCTTTCTTTCTTTCTTTCTTTCTTTCTTTTCTCCCTCTTTCTTTCTTCTCTTTCCTTCCTTCCTTCTCTCTCCCTCCCTCCCTCTTTCTCTTTCTTTCTCTCCCTCCCTCCTTTTCTTTCTTTTCTCTTTCCATCTCTCCCTCCATTTCCTTTCTTTCTTTCTTTCTTTCTTTCTTTCTTTCTTTCTTTCTTTCTTTCTTTCTTTCTTTCTTTCTTCTCTTTCCTTCCTTCCTTCTCCCTCTCCCTCCCTTTCTTTCTATTTCTTTCTTTCTCTCCCTCCCTCTCTTTCTTTCTTTTCTCTCTCTCCATCTCTCCCTCTTTCTTTCTTCCTTCCTTCCTTTCCCTCCCTCCCTCCCTCTCTCTCTCTCTCTCTCTCTCTCTCTCTTTCCCAACAGAATTCTTCCCACAGTGTACTAATCTCTATTGAAACACATCCAAAGGAGAAACCACCAGCTTCTCATGAATGCTTCTGAAGATCAACCATCAATCACTCTCTTGAAATGGAAAATCTGGTTAAACGAGCTCTAGATAGCATTCACACAAACATAAACAACCTTTTTTTTTATAAAAATTGCTTAACCTTTTGTCTCTGGCCTCTCCAGGTGGGTCTTCATCGTCAAGAAAGGGTACCAGGAAGTGGACACCTCCATCCAAAGTTCGGTGATCACCAAGGTGAAGGGGGTGGCCTTCACCAACACCTCGGAGATGGGCAAGAGGATTTGGGACGTGGCGGACTACGTCATGCCCCCACAGGTAGTGGGGCTCACTGCCCATGCTCCACATCGGCTTCACAAGTTTTGTTTCGAGAAGTTGGGAGTGGCAGTCCACCCCTCTTAAAGCAGGCTGGCTGGGGGATTCTGGGAGTGGAAGTCCTCCCCTCTTAAAGCAGGCTGGCTGGGGAATTCTGGGAGTGGAAGTCCACCCCTCTTAAAGCAGGCTGGCTGGGGGATTCTGGGAGTGGAAGCCCTCCCCTCTTAAAGCAGGCTGGCTGGGGGATTCTGGATGTGGAAGGCCACCCCTCTTAAAGCAGGCTGGCTGGGGGATTCTGGATGTGGAAGCCCAGCCCTCTTAAAGCATGCTGGCTGGGGGATTCTGGGAGTGGAAGCCCACCCCACTTAAAGCAGGTTCCTTAATGTTGGGTCCGGACCTCCCCCTGGTTTACTCCCTCTGCAGTTGCTCCAAATTTCCCGAAACCAACTGGGCCTAGAGGACTTCAGACCCCATCATCCCCCACCAGTAATTCAATATGGAGAAGGGGGTCAGTGGCCCTGTCTTCAGTGCCCCAGCCTAGCGTGGCATCCCAAGGGGAGAAGTTAAAACAGTTTACGTCCAGGAGGTGAGGGGTCTGTAGCTATTTTCACAGCCCCTTTTTCAGGCCCGTGCAGTATACAGGCCCTCCGCGGAAGGCAGGCTGGTTGCGATGTTTTTTTTCCGCAGTCCTGACTGTCCGTCAAAGTCTGCGCCTGTCCTGGTCAGTTGCTGTGCCCAACCAGACAGTGACCGGTGCAAACGACAGATGCCCTCGTTCCTCTGTAGAACCTGTTCCCCCATTATGAAAAAAAGGATTTAAAAACAACCCTGCAGGTTAGTCGTCAGCTTAGAGCTACCCGATCGGGACTGGAATGTCCGTCCTAAGTTCTCGCAGTCATGCGTTCAAGTCAAGGACTCGGTGGTGCGTCCCTTTTGTGCAACAGTTGTTTTAAGGCAGTGGTTCTCAACCTTTTTAATGCCGCGACCCCCAACAGTCGTAAGTCGAGGACTACCCAACCGGTCGTAAGTCGGGGACTACCCAACCGGTCGTATGTCGAGGACTTTCCTTGCCCGGGAGCGCCGCGCATGCGTGGTGCCGCCCCCTGCGCCGGCCGAGGCGTAGCTGGCAAGCGGCAGAGACGGCGCAGGCCAAGCACCGGCTGGGCCACCAGCTGGCCCAGCCCAAGGGAGGTAAGGCACCCGCCAGGCCCCACGCGCGCCAGCAACCCTCCCTGCGCCCGCCGGCCTCCCACCTCCCACCCCTGGCCCTCTTTTCCTTACATTTTTAGTAGTTGCTCAGCAGGGAGGGGTGGAAGCTTCCAGACAGCTCGCCTTCGCTGCAGACAACTTGCAGCACCGTTTGCAGAATGGGACTTTTGGCGGACTCAGCAGGGCAGAGACAGCCTGGACAATTCCTATTGGCTTTTGAAAGCCAATAGAATTAGACTCTATTCAAGAGAGTCTCTTCTATTGGCTTTCAAAAGCCAATAGAATAAAAGGGAGTAGCACAGCTAAGGAAAAGGGGGAAAAAAATGGCGGACTGCGTTGTTTGGCGTGAAATGGTCGTTCAACCCCAAATGGGGTCCCGACCCACAGGTGGAGAACCGTTGTATTAAGGGAACCCCAGCTGGTTAAATGGACACCGTGATCAGACATGCAATCCGATGCTTCTGAATGGACGGGGGGGGGGTTGGGTTTGGGGGGAATGTCAGAAAGTTTGCAACCTGCAATTCCAGGTCGTAAAACACCGCAGTGGGTTATAAGTGCGAAGTGGTTGAGGAGCACCCAAATTGCGATCCTGTGTATGGAGGGGTTGTGTGAGGAGAGACTATTTTCAGCAGTGTTGTAACTTTGCACGATCACTAAAGGAATGGTCGTAAGTTAAGGACCACTGTAATATCCCTCCTCCCTCCCTCTTCCTTCTTTCCTTCCCCCTCCTTCCTTCCCTCTCTCCTTCCCTTCCTTCTCTCCTTCCTTCCTTCCTTCCTTTCCTCCCTCCTTCCGTCTTTCCTTCCTCCCCTCTCTGCTTCCCTCCCTCCTTCCCTCTTTTCTTCCTTCCCTCCCTCCCTCCCTCCCTCCCTCTCTCCTTCCTTCCTTCCTTCCTTCCTTCCTTCCTTCCTTCCTTCCTTCCTTCCTTTCCTTTCCTTCCTTCTTTCCTCTTTTTCTCACAAAATTCTCAAACTTTTTGTTTTCTAATTCCTTCCCTTTCCTTAGGGTGAAAGCGTTTTCTTCGTAATGACCAATTTGATCATCACCCCCAACCAGCAGCAAAACACCTGCGCGGAGGTAGGATGAGACTGAAATTGGCCCAGGTGACGAGCATGCAAGGAATGTGTGCAAGCAGAAGGACTCAGCGTGCAAGCAGTTAGGAGGGTACACCCAAAGAGACCCTGATATTCGGGTAACAAAGGTTCAAACAAGAAAGACGTCAATGTGGAATATATTACCAGAATAACAAGAATAACAGAGTTGGGAGGGACCTTGGAGGTCATCTAGTCCAACCCCCTGCTCAGGCAGGAAACCCCTATCCCATTTCGGACAAATGGGTGTCCAGTCTCTTCTTAAAAACTTCCAGTGTTGGGGCATTCACAGCTTCTGGAGGCAGGCTGTTCCACTGATTAATTGTTCTTACTGTCAGGAAGTTTCTCCTTAGTTCTAGGTTGCTTCTCTCCTTTAGTTTCCATCTGTTGCTTCTTGTTCTGCCTTCAGGGGCTTTGGAAAATAAGCTGACCCCCACCTCTTCTTTGTGGCAGCCCCCCAAATATTGGAAGACTGTTATTTAAGTTTGTTTTCCCCACAATATTTGAAACATTCTTACTGGTTAAAATTTTCATTACACTTAAGTGTTTACGTCCTTTTATAATAATAATAATAAAATTGGAAGGGACCTTGGAGGTCATCTAGTCCAACCCCCTGCTGGCTGAGGAATTCTGGGCGTTGAAGTCTGTGAGTCATAAAAGGGCCAAGTTTGAAGACCCGTGGGCTAAAGCTTCTCTTACATTATTGCAGAAAAGGCAGTGAATTTGATGGTGGTGGTGGGGGGAACCATTATATGATTGTATTGTTCTTGGCTGCTGGCTACAAATATGTATTGGTGTTTTGCCTCTGGTCAAGGCCATTTAGAAGGTCCAATCAATTCGATTTGATGCCAGGAAGCTATAAAGAATACATTGTTCAGCTCTGGGAGATCTGGAGCTGGGAATTGCTCTTTACTATAAATAATCACAAGAGGGAAAGCAAAGGATGATTAAGTGGAGGCTTAAAATGTTTCAGGATCATTTTTTTCCCCCCTCCTTTGAAATTTATTTATTTATATTTCCTCTTTCTTAACGGCCCATCTCTCTCAGAATCAGAATTGCAAATAGTGGACAGGGAGTCCTCAGCTTACAACCACAAATGGAGTCCTACATTTCTCTTGCTAAGCAAGACAGTCATTAAGGGGTTGTTAAAGATCAGATCCCGCCTCCTGCTCTTTTCATCCAACTCTTTCCTCCTTTCCTGTCTTTTAGCGATTTTGTATTTTATATCTTTATAGTTTTCTAACATTCTATTTATATAATTTTATTTTTAAATACTGTAAGTTGGCCAGAGTTACCCTGTGGTATGATGGGCGGTCAATAAATGAGACACACACACACACACACACACCACAGAGAGAGAGAGAGAGAGAGAGAATTTAATAGACATAGATAGATGATAGATAGATAGATAGATAGATAGATAGATAGATAGATAGATAGATAGATAGACAGACAGACAGACATAGATAGATGATAGGTAGATAGATATTTGATAGATAGATATTTGATATAGACATAGATATATATTAGATAGATAGATAGATAGATGATAGATAGATAGATAGATAGATAGATAGATAGATAGATAGATAGATAGATAGATAGGCAGGCAGGTAGGTAGGTAGAGATAGATGATAGATAGGTAGATAGATATTTGATAGACAGATATTTGATAGACAGATATTTGATAGACAGATATTTGATATAGACATAGATATTTGATAGATAGACATAGATATATATTTGATCGATAGACAGACGGATAGATAGATATTTGATAGACATAGATAGATGATAGGTAGATATTTGATAGATAGATAGACATAGATAGGTAGATAGATAAATAGATGATAGATAGATAGATAGATAGATAGATAGATAGATAGATAGATAGATAGATAGATAGATAGATAGATGTAGAGAGGTAGAGAAAGAGAGGGGGGGTTGCCTCAGTTATGACTCCGGGATGCTGCGACCGTCATAAATACATGCTAGTTGCCACCTGCCCGAATTTTGATCCCATGATCAGGGGATGCTGCAACGGTCATAAGTGTGAAAAACAAATTTTTGTAAGTTGAGGACTGCCTGTATTGCATTCCCCTTCTAGCTAGATAAGATGTTCCTTTTTTAAAGAATTGTAAAATCCAGGGCTCAGGAGGATGCCCAAACCATCCTAGGCAAATTCCGGTGGACATCAACCACCAGAATTTCCTCACTGGGAACCCCAACCCTAACCCACTGGGGGAATTGAAGTCCACATCTTCAAATGGCCAAGCTTTAGAAACCCTGAACCAAACAAGTCAAGTTTCTTTAGTGGTTCTTCATGAGAAGGCAGCAACATCAGGGCCAGGCTGATATCCCATCCTCCCCCGTGGATCTTGATCAGCTTAAGTATGATCCTGGAGGGATTCCAGTTGACTTCCAGCCTTGAGTTTGACCTTTGAAAAGAGGATTTTGTCCTTTCATTTCATTTTAATGTATGCCGATTAGTGTACATTTAAAGTGACAATAAATTTTCTATTCTATTCTATTCTATTCTATTCTATTCTATTCTATTCTATTCTATTCTATTCCATTCCATTCCATTCCATTCCATTCTATTCTAGATTCTATTCCATTCCATTAATATTAATTCTATTCTATTCTATTCTGTATTCTATTCTATTCCATTCTATTAATATTAATTCTATTCTATTCTATTCTATTCTATTCTATTCTATTCTATTCTATTCTATTCTATTCTATTCTATTCTATATTCTATTCCATTCCATTAATATTAATTCTATTCTATTCTATTCTATTCTATATTCTATTCCATTCCATTCCATTAATATTAATTCTATTCTATTCTATTCTATTCTATTCTATTCTATTCTATTCTATTCTATTCTATTCTATTCTATTCTATATTCTATTCCATTCCATTAATATTAATTCTATTCTATTCTATTCTATTCTATTCTATTCCATTCCATTCCATTCCATTCCATTCCATTCCATTTTTTATTCTATTCTATTCTATTCTATTCTATTTTCTATTTTCTATTCTATTCTATACTATTTTATATTCTATTCTATTCCATTCTATTAATATTAATTCTATTCTATTCTATTCTATTCTATTCTATTCTATTCTATTCTATTCTATTCTATTCTATTCTATTCTATTCTATTCTATTCTATTCTATTCTACTCCTATACCTATACCTATATCTATTCCATTCCATTCCACTCCTATTCCTATTCCTATTCTATTATTCTATTCTATTGTCTATTATTCTATTCATATTTCTATTCCTATTCTTATTTCTATTCCTATTCTATTCTCTCCTCTAGAGCCCCAGTATTCCAGATGCCGTGTGTTACCGTGACAAAGACTGTCCTCAAGGGGAAGCAGTGATATCCGGCAATGGTATAATTGCTATTAATATTATTTCAGACAGATAGGATCTGGAATTTTTATCTATTCACCGAGTCCTTCCCAAGGACGTGGGATAGGCAGATGTTCTTGTTGCATAATATTATAGCTCTTGCTCCAGAATTATTCCAAGTCAATCTGCGCTTTTGCACTTGAGTGATGGCAATTTATTATAACGGGGACGTTTCATTGCACAGTCAGCCAGTTATTCAGACTGGGTTTGGCATTTGTATCCACCTATCAAGTCCTTCCCAGAAACCCGGGATAGGCAGATGTTCTGGTTTAATAATATTACAGGTCTCTTCGCAGAATTTAATCTAATCCAGGCCAAGCTGCCTTTTGCAATTGACTGGTGGTAATTTATTCTTACGATGAGAGCTCATTGCACAGTCAGCCAGATGTTCAGACTAGATATGGCTGTTTTGTCCACATATCGAGTCCTCCCCAAGGATCTGGGGTAGGCAGATGTGTATGTTTAAAGGTCTCATCACAGGATGGAAGCTGTTCCAGGCAGTTGCCTTCCGTAATTGACGGTGAATTTGTCAATGCCGGTGGTGCTCACCCAGTCAGCCAGATGTTTAAGACTGCAGTTTAAGAACTATCGAGTTCTTCCCAAGCACCTGGGATAGGCAGATGTCGTCGTTTAATAATACTAAAGATTTCGTGGAAGGATGTTAACTGTTCCGAGCAAAGCTGCCTTCCGCAATTGATTGACAGGGATTTTGTCAATGCCGACGGTATTCAAGGGACACTCCAGATGTTTTGGGATTGCACCCAACTCATTTATTCATGATTAATACTATCTTTGCTTTCTTTTCTCACAGTCCTTCTCCTCCCATTTCCAGGTCTCTGCATTTTGTGATTTTCTCCCTATTTTTTTATTATTGTTGTCCCTCCTTATGGAATTACAGGCAGTTCTCAATTTACAACAGCACATTTAGTGACCGTTCAAAGTTACGACGGCACTGAAAAAAGGGATTTACGACCGTTTTTTGCACTTACGGCCGTTGCAGTTTCCCCATCAAAATTCAGAGGCAACTGACTCGTATTTATGACGATTCCAATATCCCGGGGGTCCCACGATCCCCTTTTGTGACTAAAGTCAGTGGGGAAGCCAGATCCACTTAACAACCACATTACTAACTTCAACAACTGCAATGATTCCATTAACAATTGCGGCAAGACAGGTCATAAAACGGGGCAAAATTCACTTAGCGATATAATTTTGGGGCTCAATCGTGTTTGTAAGATTTTTTTTATTTTTTATAATTTTTTTTATTTTTCCAAACTCTCCCCCATACATAGACCGTGATATTTATCAGATGTTAACATACATTCTTTTTACATTCATGTATAAGGTACTTTTAATAAAATGAAATAAATACGTACACGTGACTTTTGGTGTTGCTCACCCATTTCCCCTTTCACTGTATCCACACTCCTTCTTCTCTACCTTTCTTCTCTTCCCTCTTCTTCCTCTCCTCTTCTCTTCCCTTCATCCTCTTCTCCCCTCTTCTCCTCCAATCTTCCTACTTCCTTCTCCCCTCCTTCACTCTTTTCTCTCTCCTCTCCTTTCTTCCCTCCCATCCCTCTTCAGATACAATTCAGGGGTAATGTCCGAGCAACTCCTCTCTCCAAATTTCCCTATCTGTATTATGTACAATAAGATTAATTTTCTCTTACATTAATACTTCTATTTATCTAACCTTCTTGGTATATGCTTCTATAAATATTTATACAACCTCCAGTTATTCAATACTGTGTCGCCTGGGTCTCCCTCCTTATCTGCTCCTTCTACTTCCATCTAAATCAGTGGTTCTCAACCTGTGGGTCAGGACCCCATTTGGGGTCGAACGACCATTTCACGGGGGTCGCCAAACAAGGCTGTCCGCCATTTTTTCCCCCTTTTCTTTGGCCATGCCCCTGGCACCCCGTGATGTATAAGTGGTTGGGGGTCACCACAACATGGGGAACTGTATAATGGGGTCGCGGCATTAGAAAGGTTGAGAACCACTGATCTAAATTGATGTTAACTATCTTTTCACCGTATTCTCTTTTCAGCCAATCATAAAAAGTTCCCCAGATTTCATAGTAGTCTGAATCGTGTTCGTAAGTTAAGGACCACCTGTCCTCTGTCACCAACTGCATTCAGTCACTGCAGCTAAAGATATGCAGGATTAAAACACCCAAAGGGAGCTGTACGGAGGATAAAGCCTCTGTAACAAGATTAAGAACTCCAGAGAAATCTCCGCTAAAAAAAATCAAACCGCGCCTCTCAATAACGTAATGAATTGAAACCAATCAATGCAAACACCAGCAGCAAAGTGTTTGAAATTCCTCTGATAAAAGGAGAGCTCTTAATTCCCTAGGAGAATTAGTCACCCCCATTTTGCTCATTATAGAGGATTAAGGGGGCTAATTGTTCTCAGATGGCATTTTTTTTCCCAAATAAGGCTTTTTTTTTTCTTGTTTTCGCAAATGGGAAAGTTTAGCTGACTTTGCAAAGGTGGGAAGAAGAGAAGGGTGCCAGGTGATCAACAAAAGACCTAAAAAAAAAAAAACATAAAAAAATAACATTAAAAAAAACCCTAACTTTTCCCTGGATGGATTTGAAGGCGCTTTAAAATGATTTTTTTAAAAGGATATTTTTGGCCCTTCGCTAGCTGTTTTATTTCCTAAACTTGACACGTTTTTCCCAAGTTCCAAAAGGAGCTGTTCCTCTCCCCCCCCCAAATGTCTTCCAAGCTGTTCCCTCTTCTTAATAAATAACAAAAACAACAACAACAACAACAACCTTGGTAAGGACTCGATAGGTAGACAAAATGCCAAATCCAGTCTGAACATCTGGCTGACTGTGCGATGATCCATAATAATAATAATAATAATAATAATAATAATAATAATAATAATAATAAAGTTGGAAGGGATCTTGGAGGTCATCTAGTCCAACGCTCTACTCAGGCAGGAAAAACCCTATACCATTTCAGACAAATGACTGTCCAGACTCTTCTTAAAAACTTCCAGTGTTGGAGCGTTCACCGCTTCTGGAGGCAGGTTGTTCCACTGGTTAATTGTTATCACTGTCAGGAAATTCCTCCTTAGTTCCAGGTTGCTTCTCTCTTTGGTTAATTTCCATCCGTTGCTTCTTGTCCTGCCTTCAGGCACTTTGGAGAACAGCTTGACTCCCTCTTCTTTGGGGTAGCCCCTGAGATACTGGAACACTGCTATCATGTCCCCCCTCGTCCTTCTCTTCGTTAAACTAGACATTCCCAATTCCAGCAACCGTTCCTTATATGTTTTAGCCTCCAGTCCCCTGATCCTCTTTGTTGCTCTTCTCTGCATTCTTTCTAGAGTCTCAACATCTTTTTTACATCTTTATGCTACTAAAACTCTCATATCTGTTTGACGGTTTGTAACCTTTAACCGGGTGAAACGGTGCATCACAAGGGCAACGATTTTTGAACTCAGGTACCTCAAAGGAGCTAACTGACAGAATGCATCCCAAATGCAGAAGCTGAGAATCCTGTGGAATTAAATTTGGCATAATTTTGTAAGGTCCCAGTCCTTAACTTGAACTTGAGACACCATGCCAATCAGTGTTTCTCAACCTTGACAATTTTAAGGCATGTGGACTTCAACTCCCAGAATTCCACATCCAGCAATGGGAGTTGAAGTCCACATGCCTTAAAATTGTCAAGGTTGAGAAACACTCATTTCTAATCCGATAACCAAGGCGGAGACTTCTTGATTAAGCAGCACTTTATTTGATCAAATTAAGCAGCTGGGTGGCCAACAACCTGGAACGCTGGCAGAGACACGTCCAGAAGTGCCACACCTTAGAAAACTGGTAGCATTGCTTTATAAACTTCGTTAGCCCATGAAAATCAGACAAACAGAGCCATTACATCATAAGACATCAATCATTCCTGTACACTCCCTTATTCTCTCCTTTAGTACATCCCATCCATGTACATGTTTCCCACCTTGCCGGAAATTTGCCCCTGATGCAAACGCTGATTGCAAAAAGCAAGAAAGCGACAGTTAGACTAAACAATTTCCCTTTGTTCCAGACCCCTTCAATTTAATAAAAGGCCTCATGACCTAGAAATGATCATTAAGCATTTTATGATGTAATAGGATCGTAAAACATCGAAATGAACAAGCAGAGATGATATTTGTGCAGGGTACAAGATGGGAGGCAAAGAAATGTACATAAACAAACAAACAAACAATAAATAAATTACTGCTTTCATGATAGCATCCACCATCACATAGGGGTAGTTCTCAACGTACGGCCACAACTGAGCCCAGAATTTATGTTGCTAAGTGAGACATTTGTTAAGTGGGTTTTTGCCCCATTTTACGACTTTCCTTGCCAAATTTTGTTAAGTGGATCACTGCAGTTTTTTCAATGAGTGACATCTGGCTTCTTCCCTATTGACTTTCTTATCAGAGGGTTGCAAAAGGGGATCACATGATCCCGGAACACTGCGACTGTCATAAATACAAGTCAGTTTCCAAGCCTCTAAATTTGGATCACATGACCACAGGGACGCTGCAACAGTTTTAATGGTAAAAAATGGTCATAAGTACCTTTTTTCAGTGCTATTGTAACTTCAAACAGTCACTAAACAACTGGTGTAAATTGAGGACTAGTGGCATATAATAATAATAATAATGATGATGATGATGATGATGATGACAAAAAAGTCTGGATAGTGGACGTGGCAGTGCCTGGAGACAGCAGAATAGACGAGAAAGAACTGGAGAAGATAACAAAATACAAAGACTGTGGCAAAAGCAAGCAAGGGTAGTACCAATAGTCATAGGCGCCTTGGGTGCAATCCCAAAACAACTGGAGCACCACTTGAACACAATTGGCATTGACAAATTCGCTATTAATCAATTGCAAAAGGCGGCCTTACTAGGAACTGCTTCCATCCTGAGACGATATCTGTAATACCATCAAACATCCACATCTGTCTATCCCAGGTCCTGGATAAGGACTCGATAGGTAGACAAAATGCCAAATCCAGTCTGAACATCTGGCTGACGGTGCGATGATCCATAATAATAATACACAGCTGGAATAGTGGACTGGACTCAAGCAGAACTAAAAGCAATGGATAGGAAGACCAGAAAAATAATGACAATGAATCATGCCCTTCCTCCATGCAGTGACATTGACAGACTTTATCTACCAAGGCAAATAGGTGGGCGTGGAATGCTACAAGTACATCAGATGGTTGAAGAAGAAAAAATGGCTTTGGAAGAATATCTGAAGGACAGTGATGAAGATGCACTGAAATTAGTAAAGTTGGAAGGGACCTTGGCGGTCATCTAGTCCAACCCCCTGCTCAGGCACGAAACCCTATACCTATACCATTTCAGACAAATGGCTGTCCAGTCTCTTCTTGAAAACTTCCAGTGTTGGAGCATTCACAGCTTCTGGAGGCAGGTTGTTCCCCTGGTTAATTTTTCTCACTGTCAGGAAGTTTCTCCTTAGTTCTAAGTTGCTTCTCTCCTTGATTAGTGAAGGTGGGGGGGGGTCAAAAAAGTCCAAATGGAGTTTGCAGTGGTGCGGTTGCAACTGCATCCATTTGTTGCATGTACTGTGTTCAGTTGTGACCACCATTTTGTCTTTTTTTTTTTTGACACATCCACCACCATGGCTTCCATTATCCCTCTTCCTGAGCCTACCTGAAAATTATTTCAGGGATTCACAAGATTATAGTCTGGCTGGCATTTTTATGATCATTTTGGGTTAGAAATTCTGTTTATATATATATAGCACCACAGACCAAACAAAGTGTACAATCATCATGTGCTTTACTGCTTAACTCCTGTAACTAAGATCCAAACTTGTAAACACTGCCATCTATTGGCTGAATACTATTGTAATTGTTGCACAAAAATACATTCCACCATTTTGTTTCCTCCAACAGGTATCAAGACTGGACACTGTATAAAAATTGGGAACAATATCAGCGGGACGTGCGAAATCCTAGCTTGGTGTCCAGTGGAGAAGAAAGACGGAACAAAGTTAGTTCCAAAAAAACCCCAAAACAGCTTTTCCATAGAAGCTGAGGCCTTGAATGCTAGAACTGGGAGGGTCGCAGCCCACAGACTGGGGGACCCCTGGTCTAAGGGATGTAACTAAAATCCCATTTGATTCTACTCAAGTATTAAGTAATTCAGTTAACCAATCTCTTTTATTTATTTTTAAGGTCAGCTGTTCTGGCCGATGCTGAGAATTTCACCATTTACATCAAGAACACCATCCGTTTCCCCAAGTTTAATTTTTCCAAGTAAGTTTTTCCTTCTTTCTTTCTTTCTTTCTTTCTTTCTTTCTTTCTTTCTTTCTTTCTTTCTTTCTTTCTTTCTTTCCTTCCTTCCTTCCTTCCTTCCTTCTTTCCTTCCTTCTTTCTTTCTCTTTCTTTCTTCCTTCCTTTCTCTTTCTTTCTTTTTCTTTCTTTCTTTCCTTTTTCTTACTTTCTCTTTCTTTCCTTCCTTCCTTCTTCCTCTTTCTTTCTTTCTTTCTTTCTTTCTTTCTTTCTTTCTTTCATAATATTTTATTGATTTTTCTCTTTATTACATTTCATTAGTGCTTAGTAAACGTTGTGTCTGGATTCATTTCTTATATTTAGTAATACAAGTTAAATTCTTACTCTCTGTCCTGTTTTTTCCAGCCGTTGATAAAATAAGTTCCACATTTGAAAATATTCTGTATCAAGGGCTGCCACAGGGGCTTTCTTTCTTTCTTTCTTTCTTTCTTTCTTTCTTTCTTTCTTTCTTTCTTTCTTTCTTTCTTTCTTTCTTTCTTTCTTCCTTCCTTCCTTCCTTCCTTCCTTCCTTCCTTCCTTCCTTCCTTTCTTTCTTTCTTTCTTTCTTTCTTTCCTTCTTTCTTCTTTCTTTCCCTTTTAGTTGTTTTTGACATCCTTATAGGAAACGTTCTGTCTGCAGGAACAAGTTGCCAAATTTTTGGACAAATCACTTTGGGAAGAAAAAACAAACCAACCAGAAAAACTTTCTGTGGCTCTGCAGATCAAAATTTATGAGAAAGGGGAAATAAGGAAAGGAAAGGAACAATGGCAGCTTTTCCAGGATGCTGCATTTACATGCTGATGCAAGACTGAAATTCTAAATGACAGGGTTGCATGGTTTATTTTTTAAAATTAAATTTAGAAAGCCCCATCAGCTCCGTAAGACTCTGGGCAGCATTAAAACAATAGAATTAAAATGATAAAACCAACAATACCTATGAAAAAAGAACAATCTGCCTGCCAGAACAAGCATTCCTATTTAATGGATAAAGTCCGATGCAAGTAGTTCTCGACTTATTGGGCCCAAAAATTCTGTTGCTAAGCAAGACAGTTGTTAAATGAGTTTTGCGATAATCATTGCCAGAGTTGTTAAGGGAATGACTGCAGTTGCTTAGTAATGGGGCTGTTGAGTCAATCTGGCATCCCCATTGACTTTGATGGTCATAAGGTCTCAAAAAGTAATAATAATAATACAAAATTTGGAAGGTACCTTGGAGATCATCTAGTCCAACCCCCTGCTCAGGCAGGAAACCCTGTACTATTTCAGACAAATGGCTGCCCAGTCTCTTCTTAAAGACTTCCAGTGTTAGAGCATTCACAGCTTTTGCAGGCAGGTTGTTAATAATAATAATAATAATAATAATAATAATGATGATGATGACGATGATGATGATGTTGGAAGGGACCTTGGAGATCATCTAGTCCAACCCCCTGCTCAGGCAGGAATCCCTGTACCATTTCAGAGAAATGGCTGCCCAGTCTCTTCTTAAAGACTTCCAGTGTTGGAGCATTCACAGCTTTTGCAGGCAGGTTGTTAATAATAATAATAATAATAATAATAATAATAATAATAATAATAATAATGTTGGAAGGGACTTTGGAGGTCATCTAGTCCAACCTCCTGCTCAGGCAGGAAACCCTATACCCTTTCGGACAAATGGCTGTCCAGTTTCTTCTTAAAAACCTCCAGTGTTGGAGCATTCACCACTTCTGGAGGCAAGGAGTTCCACTGGTTAATTGTTCTCACTGTCAGGAAGTTTCTCCTTAGTTCTAGGTGATCACATGATCCTGGGATGCTGCAACTGTCATAAATACCTGCCAGTTGTGAAGCATCCTAAGTTTGATCCCATGATCGTGGGGCTGATGCAACGGCCTTAAGTGTGAAAAACGGTCATAAGGAAGAGGAGGACGGTGGGGGTTCTTAATGCTCTCTGTGCTTGGTTGTTTCCTTACAGACATTTCATGACTTGACTAGGTAATACCATCAGTGTTAACAGAGAGTAGGGTTTGCGGACAGGAGAAGGAGGAGGAGGGGGAGGAGGAGGGGGAGGAGGAGGAGGAGGAGGAGGGGGACTGTGGGGTCCTTGGTGCTCTCTGAGCTTGGTGGTTTTCTTGCAGACGTTTCATGACCCAACTAGGGAACATCATCAGTGCTAGAAGGGAGTGGGGTTTGTGGTGTAAAGGAGGAGGATGAGGACTGTGGGGTCCTTGGTCCCCTCTGAGCTTGGTTCTTTGCAGACATTTCATTACCCAACTTGGTAAGCGTTGGTCATTGTTTTCAGCACCCTCATATCTTCAAATGGTTGCTAAATGAATGTTCATTAAGCGAGGATTACTCTACCCAATTACAATGCCGAGATGGCTTGTGTTGCTGGTGAGCGCTGCGTTTTTGAAAACTGCAGTGTTGTGGTTCCGGCTAATGAAACATTTCAAAGAACTTCCAGGCATTATTTTCTTAAAAGTCTTTTATTGTTACAAAATGTCGGCACAGGCACAACGGAGGGATGCTAGGATCTAAGTTCTCTTCCTCTGAGCAGTTAAATTATCAGCATGTTCCCTCCCTAAATTAGCCCATTATATCTCACATTATCCAATTAGTGTGAAGGTCAAAGGTTTTCTTCCTCTTTCCCCCCCCTTTACCCCCAACCCCCCCTTCTGCTCTGTATTAACCCCATAATTACCAGACAATTCTGCATATTGTCAAAAGCAAGAATATACAATATTTGCAGCGTTGACACCCAGGTTCCTGCCCTTCTCACTTCCCTGTCTTTCTGATGTAGAACCAATGTCCTGGACACCAAAAACAACGCCTATCTGAAGACGTGCCGCTATGGAGCAGACCAGCCCTATTGCCCCATCTTCTCATTGGGGAAACTGGTCAGCTGGGCCGGGAGCAGCTTTCACGAGATGGCGTCAGAGGTATGAAAACAAACGTAGGCTGCGCCTTCCTTTAGCTGGTGGTTTGTCATAAAGTAATCTTTATGACAAAGTCACCCAGCCGGCTTTCATGCTTAAGTTGGAACTGGTACTCACCGTCTCCTGGTGATTGGCCCAAAGTCACCTAATTGGCTATTGTGCCAAAGGTGGGACTAGAACTCACCGTCTCCTGGTGATTGGCCCCAAGTCACCCAACTGGCTTACATGCTTAAGTTGGAACTAGAACTCACCGTCTCCTGGTGATTGAGCCCAGTCACCCAGCCGGCTTTCATGCCTATGTTGGAACTAGAACTCCCCGTCTCCTGGTGATTGGCCCAAAGTCACCCAGGCAAGTTTCATGTCTAAGTTGGAACTAGAACTCACCGTCTCCTGGTGATTGGCCCAAAGTCACCCAACCGGCTTTCATGCCTAAGTTGGAACTAGAACTCACTGTCTCCTAGTGATTGGCCCCAAGTCATCCAGGCAAGTTCCATGCCTAAGTTGGAACTAGAACTCACCGTCTCCTGGTGATTGAACCCAGTCACCCAGCCAGCTTTCATGCCTAAGTTGGAACTAGAACTCACTGTCTCCTGGTAATTGAGCCCAGACACCCAGCCGGCTTTCATGCCTAAGTTGGAACTAGAACTCACCGTCTCCTGGTGATTGAGCCCAGTCACCCAGCCAGCTTTCATGCCTAAGTTGGAACTAGAACTCACTGTCTCCTGGTGATTGAGCCCAGACACCCAGCCGGCTTTCATGCCTAAGTTGGAACTAGAACTCACCGTCTCCTGGTGATTGAGCCCAGACACCCAGCCGGCTTTCATGCCTAAGTTGGAACTAGAACTCACTGTCTCCTGGTGATTGGCCCAAAGTCACCCAGGCAAGTTTCATGTCTAAGTTGGAACTAGAACTCACCGTCTCCTGGTGATTGACCCAAAGTCACTCAACCGGTTTTCATGCCTAAATGTGATATAAATCAGTCAGGTGTCCACAGGATGCTGCAAACAGCCAAAAATGTGGCTGTAGGGCAGTGGTTCTCAACCTTTCTAATGCCGTGACCCCATAATACAGTTCCCCATGTTGTGGTGACCCCCAAGTGGGTGTGGCCACCAATAAGAGGGAGTAGGACAGCTAGGGAAAAGGAAACAAAATGGTGGACAGCGTGGTTTGGCGACCCCCATGAAATGGTCGTTCGACCCCAAATGGGGTCCCGACCCACAGGTTGAGAACCACTGCTGTAGGGGGTATGAATGGCCTATGGGGGGGGGTCCATTCTAACATTGAATTATTATGCAGTCAGTCATAAGTCAAGGACTACCTGAATTTAGGACAGGCCGTGGACCCATCACGCCAACTCTGGTGGATCTCCCAAGGTTTTTGAGGGGAAACAGCTTCCTATTCTTCTGCCAAAACGGAAGAAAACCTTTTTCTGGTTTTTTTTTTTTTCTTTTCATCCAGGGCGGTGTGATTGGAATCCAGATTGAATGGGATTGCAACTTGGATAAAAAGCCATCCGAATGCAACCCTTGCTATTCTTTCAGTCGCCTAGATAACAAATTTGCGGAGAAGTCGGTCTCCTCTGGATACAACTTCAGGTAACGGAGACGGAGGCGGCGTTTGGCTGGACAGTCACTTAGACAGGAGCCAGCCGTGTGCTGCAGGTGCCAAAAAGGCCAACACAGTGCTGGGCTGCATTAACAGAGGGAGAGAATCAAGATCACGTGAAGTGTTAATACTACTTTACAAGGCCTTGGTAAGGCCATACTGGGAATCCTGCACCCAGTTTTGGTCACCATGATGTAAAAAAAAAAATGTTGAGACTCTAAAAAGAGTGCAGAGAAGAGCAACAAAGATGATCAGGGGACTGGAGGCTAAAACATATAAGGAACGGCTGCTGGAATTGGGGATGTCTAGTTTAACAAAGAGAAGGATGAGGGGGGACAGGATAGCAGCCTTCCAGTATCTCAGGGGCTGCCCCAAAGAAGAGGGAGTCAAGCTATCCTCCAAAGCGCCTGAAAGCAGGACAAGAAGCAACGGATGGAGAAACTCATCAAGGAGAGAACTAACCTAGAACTAAGGAGGAACTTTCTGACAGTGAGAACAATTAACCAGTGGAACAGCCTGCCTCCAGAAGCTGTGAATGCTCCAACATTGGAAGTTTTTAAGAAGAGACTGGACAGCCATTTGTCCGAAATGGTGTAGGGTTTCCTACCTGAGCAGGGGTTGGACTAGATGACCTCCAAGATCCCTTCCAACTTTATTATTATTATTATTATTATTATTATTATTATTATTATTATTATTATTATTATTATTAGATTCAGCCAGAGTTTCATTCCATACAGCATTAACATTGTGAACTCTCAAGCTTCCTCCTTCCACTATAGAATCAAGATGGACAATATTTAATATTTATTTCTACGTATATGTAGGGATGTGGGTCTATACATATGTTGTTCATAGTATGTTTAGGTGTGTGTCATGTATGTGTTTCACTTTTCGCGGAAAAAAAAAAGATCTTGCAAAGTTATAATTGATTGATTGAACTTTTTAGTCCCACCGTCTACCATTACCACTGCAGTCATGCCCACCCAATGTACCATGCCCACCCAATGGCCACGCCCACCCAGCACCCGACGATACATAAGTGGGTTTTCAGTTGCAGTTTGGGCACTCGGTCTCTAAAAGGTTTGCCATCACTGGTATAGTGTTTGCTGCCTGAGCAGGGGGTTGGACTAGATGACCTCCAAGGTCACTTCCAACTTTTTAATTATTATTATTATTATTATTATTATTATTATTATTATTATTATTATTACTATTATTACTATTATTATTGCCCTGCCACTTCGGCACTTTCAATCTTTCTGAAATTGCTTCAATGGCCAAATCGGGATGAATTGACCCAGGTCAGTGCTGGGAAACTGCCAGCCAGGCTGGAAGGAAGAGTCAAGCGAGGGCCTAGTTTGGAATCCTTGCACAATTGCAAGAGTCATAAGCCTGAGCTACCCCAATATCCACGAAGCGCGGCCTATCTGGTCATTCCCAGGGGATATGCAGGGGCGATAGATAATAAAATTAATGACTTTCGTTACAGGTCTTCTTTAATTTTGTGACCCCCCCAATTGACCCCCAAACTTTCCATTGCTAAGTGAGTGAGTTTTGCCCCATTTTACAACTTTCCTGCCACGACTGTTAAGCAAATCACTGCCGTTGTTCAATTAGTAATACAGTTGTTAAGTGGATCCAGCTTTCCCATCTCAAAAGGGGATTACGTGACCCAGGGACGTTGCAACTGTCATAAACACGAGTCAGTTGCCAAGCGGCTGGCTTTTGATCACGTGACCGTGGGGGGAAGGCTGCCATGGTTGTAAAAGTGTGAAAAACAGCCCCTTTTTTCACTGCCGTTGTAACCGTCCCTACATTATAAGTTGAGGATTATCTGTAATCAGACAGTAAATTGTCTGAAATGGCATAGGGTTTCCTGCCTGAGCAGGGGGTTGGACTAAATGACCTCCAAGGTCCCTTCCAACTTGTTTATTTTTATTTTTTATTATTATTATTATTAACTATTATTATTAATAAGAATAATCATCTGTCAATGAAGCCTAAGGGGGAAAAAAGAGATTTCTCTTCTACTTGGAAAAATAAATCACACGAGATTTTATGATTTTTTTTATTGTTGTTGTTCAGATTTGCCAAGTATTACCGGAGCGTGGCTGATATCGATTTCCGAATGCTGATCAAAGCCTACGGGATCCGCTTTGATATCATGGTGAATGGCAAGGTGAGATGGGGCAGACGGTGGCGAAAAACATAGATTTGCGATAGTGGCAAATATCTGCAGCCCAGGTGTCGAAGGAGGGTGGAGGTTCGTTCTCTGAGCTTGGGGGTTGGTTTCCGAACGTTTCATTACCAGGCTGAGTAACATCTTCAGAAAGAGTGTAGGGCAGGGGTAGGCAGCCTCAGCTCTTTTATGACTCGTGGACTTCAACTCCCAGAATTCCTGAGCCAGCCATGCTGAGGGGAAAGGGAGAGTTTTCCATGCTGAGCCATGCTGGCTCAGGAATTCTGGGAGTTGAAGTCCACGAGTCACAAAGGGGCCATAGTTCCCCCATGCAGGCTCAGGAATTCTGGGAGTTGAAGTCCACGAGTCATGAAGGGGGCCATAGTTCCCCCATGCTGGCTCAGGAATTCTGGGAGTTGAAGTCCACGAGTCATGAAGGGGGCCATAGTTCCCCCATGCTGGCTCAGGAATTCTGGGAGTTGAAGTCCATGAGTCATGAAGGGGGCCATAGTTCCCCCATGCTGGCTCAGGAATTCTGGGAGTTGAAGTCCATGAGTCATAAAAGAGCCGAGATTGCCTACCCCTGATATAGGGGGTGACAATGTCGGCGTTCTTCTGCTTATAAGGGCCTTGTGTGGTCAGTGGGTCTTGTGAATGGGGAGGTTACATTAGGTGAGGGTCTTGTGATGGGTCAGGTGAGGGTCAGGTCAGGTGAGGATCTTCTGATGGGTCTTGTGATGGATCGGCTGAGGGTCACGTCAGGTGAGAGTGACTGGGAGGTGAAGGAATGAATGAAAGAATAGAATAGAATAGGAATAGAATTTGAAATTAGATTAGAATAGAATAGAATAGAATAGAATAGAATAGAATAGAATAGAATAGAATAGAATAGAATAGAATAGAATAGAGAGGGACCTTGGAGGTCTTCTAGTCCAGCCCCCTGCTCAAGGAGGAGAACCTATACCATCTCAGACAAGTGATTGTCTAGCCTCTTCTTAAAAACCTCCAGTGATGGAACACCCACAACTTCTGGAGGCAGGTTGTTCCACTGGTTAATTGTCCTCCCTGTCAGGAAGTTTCTCCTTAATTCCAGGTTGCTTCTCTCCTTGATCAGTTTCCAACCATTGTTTCTCGTCCTGCCCTCTGGTGCTTTGGAGAATAATGTGACCCCCTCCTCTTTGTGGCAGCCCCTCAAATACTATCATCTCCCCTATTCCTTCTTTTCTTTAGACTAGCCAGACCCAAGTCCCACAGCCGTTCTTCGTATGTTTTAGTATCCAGGCCTTGGATCATTTTAGTAGCTCTTCTCTGAACTTTTTCCAAACTCTCAACATCTTTTTTGTGATATGGGGACCAAAATTGGCTGCAGTATCCCAGGTGTGGCCTCACTAGGGTTTTATAAAGCGGTGCTAATACTTCACGTGATCTTAATTCTACGCCTCTGTTTATACAACCCAGGATTGTGTTAGCTTTTTTGGCTGCTGCTGCACATGGCTGGCTCACGGTCAAGTGATCGTCCACTAGGACTCCGAGGTCCCTCTCACAGTGCCTGTTTTTGAGCCGGGTCTCGCCCAATCTGTACTTGCGCCTTTGGTTTTTCCTGCCTAAGTGTAAAACTTTGCTTTTCTCCACATGGAAACTCATTTTGTTGGACAGGGCCCATGGTTCAAGTTTGTCAAGATCTTTTTGATTCCTGAGTTTGTCTTCTGGGGTGTTGGCTACTCCTGCCAGTTGGGTGTCATCTGCAAATTTGTTGAGTTCCCCTTCAATTCCCTCATCTTAATCATATATGTAAATACTGAAGAGTACTGGGCCTAGGACGGAACCTTGTAGTAACCCACTGCTTACTTCCCTCCATGTGGATTTAGTGCTGTTGAGGACTACTCATTGACTATGGTTGGCCAGCCAGCTACAGATCCATTTGGTGGTGATGTTGTCTATCCCACCTTTTCCTAGCTTAGCGAGGAGTAAGTTGTGGTCTACTTTGTGGAAGGAAGGAAGGAAAGAAGGAAGGAAGGAAGGAAGGAAGGAAGGAAGGAAGGAAGGAAGGAAGGACAAACAACAGATGGAAACTCATCAAGGAGAGAAGCAACCTAGAACTAAGGAGAAACTTCTTGGCAGTGAGAACAATTAACCAGTGGAACAACCTGCCTCCAGAAGCTGTAGATGCTCCAACACTGGAAGTTTTTAAGAAGAGACTGGATAGCCATTGTCTGAAATGGTATAGGGTTTCCTGCCTGAGCAGGGGGTTGGACTAGATGACCTCCAAGGTCCCTTCCAACTCTTATTATTCTCTGTTCTCGGTAACAGAGTCATATTGGGGGAAACTGTCTAAGCCAATGTTTCTCAACCTTAAGTTGCGTGGACTTCAACTCCCAGAATTCCCCAGCCAGGACCCTGCTGAGGAATTCTGGGAGTTGACATCCATGTAGCTTAATGTGCCCAAGGTTGTTCTAAGCAATACAGGTAGTCCTTCACTTAGAACAGATTAGTGATCGTTCAAAGCTACAACGGCACTGGAAAAAAGTGACAAATGACCGTTTTTCATACTTACGACCGTTGCAGCGTCTCCGTGGTCGTGTGATCAAAATTCTGTCGCTTGGCAACTGACTCACAGTTATAACACGGTCGCGTCCCGGGAGGGTCACGTGATCCCCGTTTGCAACCTCCTGACAAACAAAGTCAATGAGAGAAGCCAGATTCACTTAAGAACTGTGTGACTGACTTAACTACTGCAGTGATTTGTTGTTGTCTTTTTTAAGTTGGAAGGGATCTTGAGAGGTCACCTAGTCCAACCCCCAGCTCAGGTAGGAAACCCTATACCGTTTCAGACAAATGGCTGTCCAGTCTCTTCTTAAAAACCTCCAGTGTGGCAGCATTCACAGCTTCTGGAGGCAAGGAGTTCCACTGATGAATTGTTCTCACTGTCAGGAAATTTCTCCTTAGTTCTAGATTGCTTCTCTCGATTAGTTTCCATCCATCCGTTGCTTCTTGTCCTGCCTTCAGGCGCCTTGGAGAATAGCTTGACTCCCTCTTCTTTGGGGCAGCCGCTGAGATACTGGAACACTGTTATCCTGTCCCCCCTCGTCCTTCTCTTTGTTAAACTAGACCACAGGTCGGCAACCTGCGGCTCCGGAGCCACATGCGACTCTTTGAGCCTTCCCTGTGGCTCCCAGCCTCCTCTGCCTTTGTAGAGAGAGACAGAGACAGAGAGAGGAATTGTGCTTCCCTGCTTCTCTCTCTCTCTCTCTCTCTGCGTGTGTGTGTGTGTGTGTAAAAGAGAGTGCACTCACAGTGTTCTCCGAGGAGCTGAAAAGCTTACTGGGTGGAGCTCCTCCCTTTGCTGCGTCTCTGCAGGAAGCAGAAAGGGCAGGAGGGAGCTACCTAGTCCAGCTAGGCTGACTCAGGAATTCTGGGAGTTGAAGTCCATGAGATAGGAGGCGGGGGGGGGATGAAAGAGAGAAAGAGAGAGGGAGGGGGAGAGAGAGAGAGAGAGAGAGAGAGAAAGAAAGAGAGTGGGGGAAGAGGAGTGGCAGACCAAGGGCAGATAGGGAGGGAGGGAGAGAGACAGAGAGAGAGAGAGAGACCCTTTTGACATCTAAAATGAAGATAACACTGCATATATCCTTTTTGAACCTTTGTGTGTATGTAATTTTATTCTCTTAAAGCAGTGGTTCTCAACCTGTGGGTTGGGACCCCATTTGGGGTCGAACGACCATTTCACGGGGGTCGCCAAACAATGCAGTCCGCCATTTCCCCCCCCCTTTTCTTTGGCCACGCCTCTGGCACCCAGTGATGTATAAGTGGTTGGGGATCACCACAACATGGGGAACTGTATTATGGGGTCGCGGCATTAGAAAGGTTGAGAACCACTGTCTTAAAGCATTCTCTTGGTGATCAGTGTTTTAATAGTATGGATATTCCCAAGAGTCATATTTTTACTTTTATTTTTAATGTATACATATACATATACATATACATATATATATATATATATATATATATATATATATATATATATATATATATATATATACACACACACACACATACACACACAAACACACACACACACCTATAATAAAGGTAAAAAAGGATATATGCAGTGTTATCTTCATTTTAGATATCAAAAGGGTTTTGCGGCTCCCGGTGTTTTGTTTTTGGTGGGAAACCGGTCCAAGTGACTCTTTGAGTGTTTTGGGTTGCCTACCCCTGAACTAGACATACCCAATTCCAGCAACCGTTCCTTATATGTTTTAGCCTCCAGTCCCCTAGTCATCTTTGTTGCTCTTCTCTGCACTCTTTGTAGAGTCTCAGCATCTTTTTTACATCGTGGTGACCAAAACTGGACGCCGTATTCCAAGTGTGGCCGTACCAAGGCCTTGTAAGATAGATAAGATAACCTTTATTGTCATTTTTTTTTTTACTGTGGGCACAACAGCACACATCAAAAATGAAATTTAGTTGCCCACTCTCAAAGTGAAACACATACATGACGCACACCTAAACATACTATGAACAACATATGTATAGACCCACATCCGGTATTAATACTTCACTTCGCTTATGAGTCGTAAAGTGGGGCAAAGCTGCCTTAACAACAACTCGGTCACAGAAATTCGGGGCTGAGTCGTGGTTATGAGTCACAGGCACAAACTTTAAAATCCGCGCACACCTCCACCAGATTCACACTTTCTCCCTTTCCTTTCAGGCAGGAAAATTCAACATCATCCCGACGGTGATCAATGTGGGATCCAGTCTGGCGCTAATGGGAGTGGTAGGTCACTCATTCGGGATGGAAGCAAGCAATTGCTGGATTACAGGCAATCTTCGACTTACAATTAGAGATGGGAAGGCCTGGAACAAAAAATCAGAAAAATTTCGGGGGGGGGGGGAAACAGGGAAAAATTGGGGGGGAAAGGTTTTGTTTTGTTTTTTTTTTAAAAAAAAAGATTTTGGAAAAAAAAATGGAAAAAACCCAGGGGTTTCCCCCCCATTTTTTCTCCAAGGCCATTTAAAAAAAAAAAAAAACCCGTTTCCCTCCCCAATTTTTCCAAGTTTTTCCCAAGTGTTCCCATCTCTACTTACAACCATTTATTTAGCAACCAAAGGACGTCGCTGAAACAAGTCACTTACAACCACGGTCGTGTGATCCTAATTCAGAAGCTTGATCACAAGCATGTATTTATTACATGGTTGTGGCATTGTGGCATCACATGGTTTCCCCGGTTTGTGACTTTCTCAGCTGGCTTCCAACAAACAAAGTCAATGAGGGAATCCGGAATCATTTATTTATTTATTTATGAGACTTATATACCGCTTTAAGTGCAAGCACTCTCTAAGCGGTGTACACCAGTAAGCAATGTATATATATATATTTACATTGCCCCCAACAATCTGGGGCCTCATTTTACCTACCCCGGAAGGATGGAAGGCTGAGTCAACCTTGAGCCGGTGAGATTTGAACCGCTGACCTGCTGAACACAGTCAGCTAAAGTGGCCTGCAGTACTGCATTATAACTGCTGCGCCACCTTGGCTCTTTCATGGGGTTGGACTAGATGACCTCCAAGGTCCCTTCAATATATATATATATATATATATATATATATGTTTTCTGAGGTTTTCGCGGGTGTTTGTATGTAGGTCTTTGGTTGTTCGGGTTTTCTCCCGCGTAAAATTGGAAGTGTCTTGGCGACGTTTCGACGAAGTCCCATTCGTCATCTTCAGGCTGGTGTTTTCAGCTTCGTGCTTCGAGCAGCACGAAGCTGAAAACACCAGCCTGAAGATGACGAATGGGACTTCGTCGAAACGTCGCCAAGACACTTCCAATTTTACGCGGGAGAAAACCCGAACAACCAAAGACCTACATATATATATATATATATATATATATATAATTAGAAATAAAAACAAAAATGCGACTCTTGGGGGTATTCATATTGTCAAAATAATGATCACCAAGAGAATATCTATCAAAAATAGAATTTAATCCACCAAGCTTTCGTCAAATACATTTGACATCGTCAGGGTTAAAAGGCAAACGCCGGGGGAAGTCTTATATACAGTTGTTTAATGCCTGTTTCCGGCTCTTGGAGCGTGTCATCGGCCCCAGCTGATCGAGTTGAGTCTCAAGCGCACGCCCCACATCAGCATCTATCCTCTTTCCATTGCTAATTTGCATTCTGTCATACGTTACTCCGTTAGCTGTTTCAGAGTTGGGGGTCAGGATCTTTTTGTCTCCCCTGCTCATAACTCCCCCACCATCCCACACACGGCTTCCCAATTGTCCCATTGTCAGTGCCTTGTTGTTCCGTCCATTGTCGGTAAGCACCATTCCCACTCATCCCCAATTCTCCATTCTCACTCCGTGAGGAACCGGAAGGAAAACGGAATATAATAAAGTCTAACGAGGACGATGAGAACGAGGATGAATCCCCCTTTGAGGATACTACCAGGCACATTATGATAACCCGGTCGCAGTCGAGCAGAGGAAGGCACCCCCCTCTGACATTCTCAACACAAAGCTGCGGAGTGAAACAGCGACTGCAATTAAAGGGGAAGAGCCCCGTACGGAGTGAGAATGGAGAATTGGGGATGAGTGGGAATGGTGCTTACCGACAATGGACGGAACAACAAGGCACTGACAATGGGACAATGGCAGAAAACATCTTGAGTGTGCGCAAGGGAGAGAGCGTGGAAACGAACAGTAGATCATTTAGGAGAACTCACGGGAAGGAGGAGGGGAGGAGGAATAGCATGGGTGGTGACTATGAGCCTGCGTTACAACCCCGAGGGATAGATAAACAAGATCAAAGTGGTCTTGGGGCTTGCAGGGATATTGGAAGAAATTTAAATAATTACCCACCCCCGCTCCCTAAGGGAAGCCGTGTGTGGGATGGTGGGGGAGTTATGAGCAGGGGAGACAAAAAGATCCTGACCCCCAACTCTGAAACAGCTAACGGAGTAACCTATGACAGAATGCAAATTAGCAATGGAAAGAGGATAGATGCTGATGTGGGGCGTGCGCTTGAGACTCAACTCGATCAGCTGGGGCCGATGACACGCTCCAAGAGCCGGAAACAGGCATTAAACAACTGTATATAAGACTTCCCCCGGCGTTTGCCTTTTAACCCTGACGATGTCAAATGTATTTGACGAAAGCTTGGTGGATTAAATTCTATTTTTGATAGATATTCTCTTGGTGATCATTATTTTGACAATATATATATATATATATATATATATATATATATATATATATATATATATATATATATATATATATATATATTTTACTATTATTATTGTTGTTGTTGTTGTTGATGATGATCATCGCAAGTCAGCCAGATGTTCAGACTGGATTTGGCATTTTGTCTACCTATCGAGTCCTTACCCAGGACCTGGGATAGGCAGACGTGGATGTTTGATGGTATTACAGATATCGTCGCAGGATGGAAGCAGTTCCTAGGAAGGCCGCCTTTTGCAATTGACTAATAGCGAATTTGTCAATGCTGCGACGGTCATTAAGTGTGCAAAAACGGTCATTTTTTTTCCAGGACTTTGAACTGTCAGTAAATGAACTCTTTGTCGTGGACTCCCCGTATTATCTTATTTTATCTTATGTTATTAAATTATATACGGTAGCTTTTTCTCTTAAGTGGCACAGCGAGTTTGGGCTTGCCAGCTAAAATAAAATAGAATAAAATAATATTTTTTTTTAAAAAAAAAGCCTCGCTAGTATAAGCATGCAACTGAAAATACGAAACTTTTTAAAAAGTTACTGTTAGCATGTGGAATTCCATTCCGTTCATAGAGTGTTGTTTCTGCTCTCCAGGGCGCGTTCTTCTGCGACTTGGTCCTGCTGTATCTTCTCCGAAAGAGCCAGTTTTATCGAGGGAAAAAATACGAGGAAGTGAGGTAAGTTGCCTGCAGCCACGAAGCGTTCCCGACTCATAGAGATTTATTATTTATTACTTCTGACCCAGTAAGAAATCTTTCCACTTGGATTTTTCTACAATGGGGGGTTGCAACCCTTTCTTGGGCTAAATTGATATCCTCCAGATCAGGGATCTTCAAACTTGGCCCTTTTATGACTTTTGGACTTCAGCTCCCAGAATTCCTCAGCCAGCCATGCTAGCCCAGGAATTCTGGGAGTTGAAGTCCACCAGTCATGATGGGGCCATAGTTCCCCCATGCTGGCTCAGGAATTCTGGGAGTTGAAGTCCACGAGTCATAGAGGGGCCATCGTTCCCCCATTTTGGCTCAGGAATTCTGGGAGTTGAAGTCCACCAGTCATAAAGGGGGCCATAACTCCCCCATGCTGGCTCAGGAATTCTGGGAGTTGAAGTCCACGAGTCATAGAGGGGCCATCGTTCCCCCATTTTGGCTCAGGAATTCTGGGAGTTGAAGTCCACCAGTCATAAAGGGGGCCATAACTCCCCCATGCTGGCTCAGGAATTCTGGGAGTTGAAGTCCACGAGTCATGAAGGGGCCATAGTTCCCCCATGCTGGCTCAGGAATTCTGGGAATTGAAGTCCACGAGTCATGAAGGGGGCCATAGTTCCCTCATGCTGGCTCAGGAATTCTGGGAGTTGAAGTCCACCAGTCATGAAAAGGCCAAGTTTGAAGGCCCTTGCCCCAGATCAAGCCATCCCATAGCTTAGCATGCATTGATGTACAGATGGTCCACGATTTACATTTAATGAAGAGAAGGAGGAGGGGGGACATGATAGCCGTGTTCCAGTATCTCAGAGGCTGCCCCAAAGAAGAGGGAGTCAAGCTATTCTCCAAAGCGCCAGGGCAAGAAGCAACGGATGGAAACTAACCAAAGAGAGAAGCAACCTGGAACTAAGGAGAAACTTCCTGACAGTTAGAACAATTAACCAGTGGAACAACCTGCCTCCAGAAGCTGTGAATGATCCAACACTGGAAGTTTTTAAGAAGAGACTGGACAGCCATTTGTCTGAAATGGTATAAGGGCTCCTGCCTGAGCAGGGGGTTGGACTAGATGACCTCCAAGGTCCCTTCCAGTTCTATCGCGATGATGATGATGATGATAATCATCATCACAGTTACACACCATTTCAACTAGACAATAAAAACCTAAGAAGGAAGCAAAAAAAACAAAAAATACAGGACAGATCCTTTCTAGCAACCCAGATAAGCAGGGATGAACGCCAGACAAACCATCAAACAGAAAACAATACCCTAATCAAGGAGCTACACCAACACTGGCAGGGCAAGCTACTGCATATATTCTGGTCTTTTTGTTTCCTTCTTAGCTTTTTATTATCTCTTTTGAATGACAAATAGTAATAACAGAATAGAGCTTGGAGGTCTTCTAGTTCAGCCCCCTGCTCAAGCAGGAGAATCTATACCATCTCCGACAAGTGACTATCTAGCCCAGTGGTTCTCAACCTGTGGGTCGGGACCCCATTTGGGGTCGAACGACCATTTCACGGGGGTCGCCAAACAACGCAGTCCGCCATTCCCCCCCCCCCTTTTCCTTAGCTGTGCTACTCCCTTTTGACTCTTGAATAGAGTCTAATTCTATTGGCTTTCCAAAGCCAATAGGAATTGTCCTGGCTGTCTCTGCCCTGCTCAGCCCACCAAAAGTCCCATTCTGCAAACGGTGCTGCACCAGTTGAGTAGTCCTCGACTTACGACCGGTTGAGTAGTCCTCGACTTACGACCGGTTGGGGGGTCACGGCATTAAAAAGGTTGAGAACCACTGATCTAGCCTTTTCTTAAAAGCCACCAGTGATGGACCCCCCCCAATTTCTAGTGGCAAGCAGTTCCACTGGTTAATTGTCCTCACTGTCAGGAAGTTTCTCCTTAATTCCAGGTTGCTTCTCTCTTTGATCAGTTTCCAACCATTGTTTCTCATCCTACCTTCTGGGCTTTGGTGAACAACCTGGCCCCCTCTGCCTTGTGGCAGCCCCCCCAGATACTGGAATTCTGCTATCCTGTCTCCCCTATTTCTTCTTTTCTTTAGACTAGCCAGACCCAAGTCCCGCAGCCGTTCTTCGTATGTTTTAGTCTCCAGGCCTTGGATCCTCTTAGTTGCTCTTCTCTGAACTTTTTCCAAACTTTCAACATCTTTTTTTATGATAGGGTGATCAAAATTGGCTGCAATATTTCAGGTGTGGTCTTACTAGGGTTTTATAAAGCGGTACTAATGCTTTGCGTGATCTTGATTCTATGCCTCTGTTTATACACCCCAGGATTGTATTAGCTTTTTTGGCTGCTGCTCCACACGGCTGGCTCATGTTTAAGTGATCGTCCACTAGGCTATTTGGCTATTGATAAACTCTGCCTCAGGAGTTTATCACTCTCCAGCACTGATGATGTTACCTAGTTGGGTAATGAAACGTCTGCTAGTAAACAACCAAGCTCAGAGAGCACCAAGAACCCCATATTTGCTCATTTTCTTGAATTTCCCTTTCCTCACGTAGGTCAAACGCCAAGAAATCTTTACCGGCAAGTACCATCAACGGGAACCAGACTGGGAACCAGAGTGAAGATTCTTTATCCCGATTGGATCAGCTCGAACACCTACAGACGGCTGAGACCTAAAACCGTGCCTTTCTCTTTAGACCCTCCTTTGCAAAGTCGTCAGTCATTAAGAGAAACTACGGACCACAGAAGCTGCAAGAAAAGATGCGTTTTCAGCTTCTTATGTCCTTATTTTTTGGAATCCGGAGCCAACGCGTATCTGTCCACGTTGCAGGATTTTAACTTTTTGAAATCAAAACCAAACACCAGAAAATCTTGCGTTAAGGATTGTAGTTGCGTGGTGGATATCAGGTGGTCTCTCTTTGTGTGGCATCTGGATAACCTAACACAGCTGTTCTTAGCCTGTGAAATTTATGCCAAAAGAGCCACCGATGATTGGAGGAGACAGTTGTCCACATTGAATTATTATTGTTCAGCATGCAGTCAGCCAGATGTTCAGACTGGATTTGACACCCACCTGTCGAGTCCTTCCCAAGGACCCGGGATAGGCAGATGTGGATGTTTGATGGTGTTTAGAGATATTGTTGCAGGACGTCAGCTGTTCCCAATGAAGCTGCCTTTTGCAATTGACCGATGGGAGAATTTGTCAGCACCGATATCATTCAAGGGGTGCTCCAGATGTTTTGGATTGGCTTATTATGGTTCTTTGCATAGTCGGCCAGATGTTCAGTCTGGATTTGGCCTTTTTGTCTGCCCAAGGACCTGGGATAGGCAGATGTGGATGCTTGAATGGGGTTAAAAGTTTCACCACAGGATTTAAGCTCTTCTGGGTAAAGCTGCCTTTTGCAATTGACTGATGGTGAATTTGTCAATGGCAATGGCATTCAAGGGGTGCTCCAGATCAGGGCTTTTCAACCTTTTCACCTATTGTACCACTTTTAGGATATGGCAATATCCGAGTACCACCAGTCGCCTAGCAAGGTGTCAAAAACTTGATGACCCCCCCCCCCAAAAAAGGAAAAAAGTGATAAAGTACAGGTAGTCCTCGACTTACAACAGTTCACTTAGTGACTGTTCAAAGTTACAGTGGCACTGAAAAAGGTGCCCCCCAAGCCAGAGCCGAGCAAGACGCCTGCCTGCCCGGCGTTGCTCTTCCTCCTGTCTGAGGTTTTCATTGTTGAGCATTTCTGTTGAGGATTGGCAGCGGGGGTGGGGTGGGGTGTGTTTGGTTTTTATTCCCCCCCCCCGTCTGCTGGGTAGTTGCAGCAGGTTTGGGTCACTTCACATGACCCTGGGACACTGTGACCGTCATAAATATGAATCAGTTGCCAAGCATCTGAATGTAAATCACAAGACCCTGGAGAGGCTGCAACATTCCAGCTGATCGGCGCTTCTTCAGGGCTCAGCAGAAGCGCCAGGATCAGCGCCGAGCTCCAGCTGGAGCCTGGCACTGATCCTGACACTGATCCTGGCGCTTCCGCTGAGCCCTGACAGCCCTGCAGCTCCAGCCATCTCTCGCTCAGGCTTGTGCGGTGCTGCCACCGGTTCAGCTCATTCCCCTCCCCCGCTACTACTACTTTTCTAGGATGGTCACGTACCACCTGCCAGGTGCCAATGTACCACAGGTGGTACCCGTGCCACTGGTTGAAAAGCCTGCTCCAGATGTTTTGGGATTGCACCCAAAGCGCCCGTCGCTATTGGTACTATGTTTGCTTTCTTTTGCCATAGTCATTATTATCATCATCATCATCTAATTTATTTGCCATTCATCTTTGCCCTTCGAAGCGACTCTGAGAATAATCCCATTCTGGGCATCTGGTCTGCAATTATACGATGAGTAAGATTTTAATCATTCTGCTATGTGTTTTGGACCTCTCCCTGCAAATTGTTAAGCCTGTGGGATGATGCCGGAATTCGAAATAAAATCCTTGCAAGCTGCGTAAACATTTCTCCAGCCTGTGGGATGATGCAGGAATTCTAAACAAATTCCTGCAACACGCAGAAGCAATTCTCCAGTATCCAACCGACTCATGAAAAATAAATCACAGTGGAGATGTGTAAGGTGTCTTGACCCTCCACTTCAGGGAAAGGAGAAAGACTGAATTTTATTTTTTCTGCCTACGGTATGAATTTACATACAAACCCAGGTCCTACTTTATGACCTGCACACAGGATGGGCAAGTTGCAGGAATTAAATCAGATGTGTTACCTATGTAGCCACAAGCCATATTCCTGATTGCTGCTTCACCAGAAATTTCTGCATGTTTTTTTTTAAAAAAATGGGTTGAAGTTGTTAAAAATAAACATAATTTTGATGAGAATAGATCATAAAGAGTTTTTTTAAAAAAAAACTATAAAGCAAGAGATAATAATAATAAAGTTGGAAGGGGCCTTGGAGGTCATCTAGTCCAACCCCCGGCTCAGGCAGGAAAAATCCTATACCATTTCGGACAAATGGCTGTCCAGTCTCTTCTTAAAAACCTCCAGTGTTGGAGCATTCACCCCTTCTGGAGGCAGGTTGTTCCACTGGTTAATTTCTGCTTTCCAGATTGAATCAGGAAGTTTCTCCTTAGTTTTAAGTTGCTTCTCTCTTTGATTAATAATAGTAAAGTTGGAAGGGACCTTGGAGGTCATCTAGTCCAACTCCCTACTCAGGCAGGAAACCCTGTACCATTTTAGACAAATGGCTGTCCAGTCTCTTCTTAAAAACTTCCAGTGTTGGAGCATTCACCGCTTCTGGAGGCAGGCTGTTCCACTGGTTAACTGTTCTGTCAGGAATTTTCTTAGTTCCAGGTTGCTTCTCTCCTTGATGAGTTTCCATCCGTTGCTTCTTGTCCTGCCTTCAGGTGCTTTGGAGAATAGCTTGACTCCCTCTTCTTTGGGGCAGCCTCTGAAATACTGGAAGACTGTTATCATGTCCCCCCTCGTCCTTCTCTTCGTTAAACTAGATAATGTTTCATTTACATTTATAATCGCTGCAAAGAAAATCGGAAGCTACTTCTATTTTTATATTTTCACTTTCTTTTTGCAGTTTGGGCTTTTTTTTCTCGTTTCCTGTCTTTCCTTTACATCCTCACAGGGTTATTGTTAGGACAGTGAGAGGAGGAAGCAGTAGTATGTTTGGCGCTTTGAGTTATTTATAAAAATAATAAAGGAGGAACATATCACCCCCAGAAATCGTGGGTGCTCCCTCACTGGAGATTTTTAAGAAGAGACTGGACATTCACCTGTCTGAGATGGTATAGGTCCTCCTGCTTGAACAGGGGGCTGGACTAGAAGACCTCCAAGGTCCCTTCCAGCTCTTTTCTATTCAGTGTGTGAAACCGGAAGTAAACGGCAAAAACATTGTAAATCATGGCCATGTAAACACAGGATACTGAAAACCCAAGGTAAATGGGACCTGGTTGCCAAGCAGCTAAAAATTCAGTCATGTCACTGTGTGTGTGTGTGTGTGTGTGTGTGTGTGTGTGTGTGTGTGCGCGCGCGTGCGTGCATCACAACTTCAGAACTGGATCTAAGTTTTGCTGGGAAGGCCATATTCAGAGTCATAAAGCCAAAATTCCATCAGGACCAAGCTTACGTTTTTGTAAGCTTTAAATATATATATATATTTTTAAAAAAGGATTCCTATAATTAGGCATAATTAGCAAAATCAATTGTGCACCAGGAGAATAAAGCAGGTGTCTAAGATCTGGAGAATTATTATCAATCTCAAACCAAAGCAATAGAGCCAGGGATGTCCAATCTCGGCCACTTTTAAGACCTGTGGACTTAAGACCTCCCAGAATTCCCCCGGCCAACATTGCTGGCTGCGGGAATTCTGGGAGTTGAAGTCCACAGGTCTTAAAAGTGGCCAAGATTGGGTCACCCCCTAACATAGACCAAAGCTTACAGTTTCTTTGCCAAGACACAGAAGCCATGAATGCAAAAGGGAGATTGTGACAAAAAATGCACGTATTTCCCCCCAAATTTTATTTCGTGAAAATACCAGTGAAGAAGCATTTGACGCAGTTGGAAAAGGAAGAACTAATGATATATATATTTTTTTCAAGATCATTGACACTCTTCTCCTGTGTCTCCAAAACTATGCATGTGTGAAAAAGTTATTTGCTGTGTCTTTATGAAAACTGGATTATGAATGTAAAGAATAAAAGGAAAAATGTGAAACGTTTGCAATCGCATCTGTGCAACTTCAACGTTCCCTAAAACTGTCGAAAAAAAAACCACACACAATTTAACAGCCTGTTTCTCATCACAACCAGCCAGGATTTTCCATTAAGCCTAGACAGAGAACGCAACATCTCGGTCTGTTGTTGATCTGGACAAATAAGCCTGCTTTATGACAGTGTTACTAGCAGCCATTGATTAACTCAGTCTAAAAAGATTCATCTGTTCCTCTTTTAAGGTAAAAAAAATCTGGAGATGGACAGTATCTTTCCCACCCACATTTAAATGAAAAAACTTAAGTTTTGTTTGGGTCTTTTAATATCTGTCAGAAAAAAAAAAGCAAACACCAACAGAAGCCTCAAAATGAGCCAGTTCTCCACCTCGCTTTAAGTGCCCAGAAAAAAATTGCTTTATGCTAAGAGATTTTTTTCCTGCGTGTGACCACGTCTGAGAGGGAAATTCAATGAATTTTGACCACTTTAATATCTTCGTCCAGAAATCCCTGTGCAGAGAATACTAAATACACAGAAATATAGGAGGATTTCCTCCCCAAATCTTAAAAAAAAAAAGAACAAAAACTAAAATTGTGGCACATGAAAGCATGACTGTGATGTAACTGTAGCCAAAGGACTTCTGAGAAGCAGTAAAAAATAGAATGGCTGCGTGTTTTTTTTAAAGGATTAAAAAAAATTGTAAATAGAGGAAGAGGGATGCATTAGACAAAATAAGAACATTTAATCCAATGTTTCTCAACCTTGACAATTTTAAGGCATGTGGACTTCATCTCCCAGAATTCCACAGCCAGCATTGCTGGCTGTGGAATTCTGGGAGTTGAAGTCCACATGCCTTAAAATTGTCAAGATTGAGAAACACTGGTTTAACCCAATCTGAGTGCTTCTATTAAGGGGGAAAAAATGTAGGACGATTGTAAAGAATAACATGCAGAAGAATATTTATACTTGAGGGTTGAACTGTGGGGTCCTTGGTGCTCTCCGAGTTTGGTGGCTTTCTTGCAGACGTTTCATGACCCAACTAAGGAACATTACCAGCGTAAGTGACGGTGGGGGTTACTGACTATTTATATATAGTAGTTTGCCCTGGGGTGGAGTCTATCAAATATCAGCCATTAATATACATGTAGAGGTAAAGCACATTTACACACCATTCAAGAGAGACAATAAAAACCTAAGAAGGAAAGAAAAAGTCCAGAATATATCCTTTCTTGCAGTTGACATCCAGTTAAGCAGGAATCAACACCAAACAATCAAGCAGAAAACAATACTCTAATCAAGGTATGTCACTCACACACGTAGAGCATTGGCAGGTATGCCATTATATATAAACGAGCAATTCCCACACTTACTAGCACAGATGATAGCACTAGCAATAGGTAGCATTCAGACTTAATATACTGCTTTGTAGGGCTTTACAGCTCTCTCTAAGCGGTTGACAGAGTCGGCATCTTGCCCCCCCCAACAATTTGGATCCTCATTTTACCGACCTCAGAAGGATGGAAGGCTGAGTCAACCTTCAGCCGGTGAGGATCGAACTCCTGGCAGTCGGCAGAGTTAGCCGGCAATATTACATGGTTACATTGCGCCACCATAGGAAGGAAGGGAGGAAGGAAGGAGAAGAGGGAGGGAGAAAAAGAAGGAAATGAAGGAAGCATTAGGAATAGCATTTAGACTTATATACTACTTTACAGCCCTCTCTGAGCAGTTTACAGAATCAGCCTATTTGCCCCCAACAATTTGGATCCTCATTTTACCGACCTCAGAAGGATGGAAGGCTGAGTCAACTTTGAACCGGTCAGGATCGAACTGCTGGCAGTGGGCAGAGTTAGCCTGCAATACCACTTTCTAACCACTGTGCCACCACAGCTTTATGATGTTACCCAGTTGGGTAAAGAAATGTCTGTAAGAAAACCACCAAGCTTAGAGAGCACCAAGGACCACACCAAACTGGCATTATCCTTCCGGCCTCAGTTGCAGCATTACGTCTTCTTAATTTAACCTAGCACAGGGGTAGGCAACCTTGTCCCCTTCGTGACTTGTGGACTTCAACTCCCAGAACTCCTGAGCCAGCATGGGGGAACTATGGCGCCTTTATGACTTGTGGACTTCAACTCCCAGAATTCCTGAGCCAGCATCTGGGAACTATGGCCCCCTTATTGACTCATGGACTTCAACTCCCAGAATTCCTGAGCCAGCATGGCTCAGCTTGGAAACCTCTCCCTTTCCCCTCAGCATGGCTGGCTCAGGAATTCTGGGAGTTGAAGTCCACGAGTCATGAAAGAGCCAAGGTTGCCTACCCCCGACCTAGCACCTTGTGCCCAACAGAGGGCAGCATTTGAGAGGCTCAAAAATAAAACCAACAAATCCGAGTTTTTTAAATTCCAAGACTATTCGATATTTATAGTTTTCTGGGACTTATCAAGATCGAGCAACTGGGAGGGCAATTCCATTCCGATTTAAGAGGAGAGACGCTCAAGAGCCATAACTTTAGAGCTATCGTGGCATGAAGGTTAAAAGGATAGGGAGTAATAAATTATCTTTCTGATTCTTTTTCTTAAACCCAGGGCAGGTAGGCCTGCAGTCCTACATGCAGTACCCCAGGGGTCTCCAAAGTCTCCCACTTTTTAAGATGTGTGGACTTCAACTCCCAGAATTCCTCAGCCATGGCTGGCTCAGGAATTCTGGGAGCTGGAAGTCCACAAGTCTTAAAGGTGCCAAGTTTGGAGAGCCCTGTACTGCATTGGGCAGGGATGAGAAACCTGGGTCTCCATGGGTCTTGAACTCATGGAGATTGAACGTTAAGATCCAGCAACAATCGCCTTTGGCCGCACCGGCTGGGTTGTGAACATGGAGACAGCTACAGATGTCCCCCCCCCCACAACAAAGCTCCCACTGAACTTGTTGCAAACTCGTTGGAAGTAAGTAGTAGCTCCAGGCCAAGTGTCCCTCCCTCCACACACAGCCTGCCTGTAACCGGGCTATGAAAACTGTTGTTTTTTCCTTCTGAAGTCTTTCAACCAAGATGCATACAAAACAGATCAAGCACTGAATATTGATGTAGAATTTCCCTCCCCCCCAAAAAAAATAGTAGATTTGCTTACACTGCAGTGAATGTCTCCAAAGGTTGGCTAAGGGTGTTAGAACAGAATTCTAGAGAGAGGGAATAAGTCTGGCTGAGGGATAAAACGAGAAGAACGGAACATCCTCGGGACTGGAGGACAGGTTATTTACACGTCATTTTTAAAGGTTTGGGGGTGGGGTTCACATTCTGTTTAATTAGCAGGATTCTACAGGCTTGCATTCTGACATACGTTAGGCAGCGGCCGAAGGGTGCAAGCAGCGGGCCAGGATCCTCAGTTTTAGGGCACCAGAGAGGAATGGACCTATCTGGACCACGCTCCTCAGAACTGTTCTGGCTATACCTCCTCCTCCTCCTCCTTCTCCTCCTCCTAGTAAACGTGCACCATGCCATAGAGAAAAGTCCAGAAAAGAATATAGGTGAATAACCCTCCGATCAGCCCCCCGGTAAAGAGAGGCCTTCGGGATTTAAAGTACTTGTTCCATCGCCGTCCGGCTTTTAACACCAAAAGCACTGACAGCAAGACAGAGGCCAGGAAGTAGAAGATGAAACCGTAGAGGCCGTTGAGGCCGAGAATGCCGGCGGTGGCTCCTGACAGAGCGGAGACGGAGGTCCTGCAATAATCCAGGATGGCTGCGTTCCCCCGGACGGCTGCTTCGCTGATGAACTGGGGGCCTTCCCGTTTGGCCACCACGGCGGCCATGGCTTCGACTGGGAGTGGCGGGGCAGCTCCCCTCCTTCAGGACTGTGCTTTCTGAGAGGAAAAAAAGTGGAATCATTCACGGGTGCAGATTTGTTTCTTGGAAAACCCAAGATATGCCCTTCAACGGAGCCAGGTAACAAACGAGAAACAGATTTGATTAATCGTTACAAAGTCATTACTAAAAGCCAACGTGGGTTTGTCAAAAATAGATCATGCCAGACAAATCTTATTGCATTCTCTGACCAAGTGACAAAATTAGTGGAACAGAGGAATGCTGTGGACATAATTTACTTGGACTTCAGTAAGGCATTTGATAAAGTAGATCACAACCTACTACTTGACAAGATAGAAAAATGCGGGTTAGATAGCATCACCAAGAGATGGATCCGTAGCTGGCTGACCGGCCGTACTCAGCATGTGGTCTTCAATGGAACCGCATCTACATGGAGGGAAGTGTGTAGTGGGGTGCCCCAGGGCTGTTCTGGGCCCAGTGCTCTTCAACATTTTCATCAACGATTTGGACGAGGGGATAGATGGGGAACTCATCAATTTTGCAACCAAGCTGGCAGGAATAGCCAACACTCCAGAAGACAGGCTTAGGATATAGGAGGATCTGGACAGACTTGAACTTGATTCATGACAGGTTTTTCATCCTCACAACCATGGCAGCATCCCCATGGTCACGTGATCAAAATTCACATTGATGAAGGTCACAGCGTCCTTGGATCACATGATCCCCTTTTGCAACCTTACAGCAAGCAATGGGGAAGCCAGATTCACTTAACAACCGTGTTACTAACTTAACAAATGCAGGGATTCGCTTCACTGGCACGAGAGGTCGTAAAACGGGGCAAAGCTCCTTTAACAAGTTTCTCACTCAGCCACATAAATATTTGGGCTGAACTGTGGTCGTGAGTTGAGGACTTATCTACACAGTATCAGGAAATGCAAAGGGGACGTTAAATATCTGTTTTTAAGGCAGAGAAGCCCCCTTTGGCCCAAGCCAGACCTCCTTTCAGGCCCCCGTAATGACGTCAGACCCGTGGGAAAGTTCTCACTTAACGACGTCAATGCTGCCCCAACGTATAAAAATTAAAAGCCTCCTTTTTTCTTTCCTCCCGTGTTTCAACCCAACATTCCTCTTACCTCGCTACGTATTTTCTCCTCTCCCAGCTTTGGCCCAACCGGTTTCGCTTCTCCCGACCTCACCGAAAAAAGGCAGCCGACGCCATCTTGGAACAGAAAGGATTCTGGGAGCGACGGCCTTCCCACGCTGCCGACGTCGCAGCCGGTCTCTCCGCGCGTCTTCCATAGAGTCTTGGCAACACCGCCCCCCCCTCGATGGCCCTTTTGCGAGGCGTTTGGAGCCATCGAGAACGAGAGGCCTAGAGCGTCGCCGTCTCCGCCAGGCCGGATTGCCTTCCTTGTGAAACGTGAGCACGTCCTGAAAAGAAAAGCTTAGGCTCCGCCCATTGTCTTAACCCCTCCCACCGAAGAGGCTGGAGGAGGAGAGAAATAGAGAGAAGGGGGCGTGGCCGCCGGGGACGAGGTGGGGAGAAAGGCGCGCGAGAGGGGGCGGGGCCTGACAGGGCGGTGGGCGTGGCCGCGAGGCAGGGGGCGGGGCTCCGCCGCCCCGCTCCCTCCGCTTTTGTTCCGCCGGAGGCGAAGCGAGCGGAGCGGCTTCAGCAGCGGCGGCGGCGACGACTCCCGGAGCCATGTCCTACATCCCGGGCCAGCCCGTCACGGCCGTGGTGGTAAGCCGACCTTCCCCCCCCACTCCCACTCGTCGGACTACAAAGCCCATCCTCCGCGGCCGGAGGGGGTGTGTGATGGGCGTTGGAGTCCAAGCCCTCGAGGCGGCGGGCTCGGGAGGGGGTGGGGTATGGGGGGGTGTTTGCGTGGGTTTAGTTTGCGCCTTCTCCCCCCCCATCCAGCCCCCCCTCCAGCCCGTTCCCACGACCTGCAGACACGTGTCAGGCTCTCCCGGGGAGGGGGGGGGAAACCCTGGCGCGCGGGCGTGGTCCACACGTGGAGGGAGGGAGGGACGGGGGAGGAGTAGGAGGGGAAATCGGGCTTGTTGGGGTCTCGGGGCGGGAACGGAGCCCGAGGAGGGAGCCCCAGCCCCGTCCCCACAACCTGGCGGGACGGGGGAGCTCGCAGCCTTGCTGGCTCTCCGGCTTGGCAAGTTGAGACGGGTGGACTTTAATTCCAGCCGGTGATTAGTCACCTCCCGGCCTTTTTTTTTTTGAGGGGGGGGGAGGAGGAAGGGAAAAAGTCCGGTCGTCTGAAAGCGGCTGAGGTTGAGAAAAGTCCCGGGACAGTTTGCCTCCTTCGGTGCCCGTAGCTTTGCCCCCTTCTTTGGGGTCCTCCAGGGAGCCTTCCATCCCCCTCCCCTTTCTCCTTCCTCCTGCTCTGCTCCCTCCTTTCCTCCCTTTCTCTTTTCTCCCTTCTCCTGCTCTGCTTCCTTTCTTCCTCCTTTGATCCATTTCTCTTTCCTCCCTTCCTCCTTTCCTCCCTCTCTCTTTCCTCCCTTCCTTCTCCTGCTCTGCTTCCTTCCTTCGTCCTTTTATTCATTTCTTTTTCCTCTCTTCCTCCTTCTGTTCTGCTTCCTTCCTTCATCCTTTGATCCATTTCTCTTTCCTTCCTCCTTTCCTCCCTTTCTCCTTCCTTCCTCCCTTCTTTCCTTTCCTCCTCCTCCTGTTCTACTTCCTTTCTTTCTCCTTCCTTTTATTTCCCCTTCCTTCCTCCCTTCCTCTCTATTTCCTTTCTTTCTCCCTTTCTCATTTCTCCCTTTCTCTCTTCCTTCTGTTTTTCTTTCCTTCATCGTTTTCTTCCGTTCTCCTCCCCTCCCTCCCTCCCTCCCTGCCTTTCCTTCCATCTTTCCTTCCCTTTCTCCTCCCTCCCAGCCTTTCTCCTTCCTCCCTTCCTCATGTTCTTCTTTCTCCCTTTCTCTCTTCCTTCTGTTCTCCTTCCCTCCCAGCCTTTCTCCTTCCTCCCTTCCTCATCTTCTTCTTCCTCCCTCCTTTTCTCCCTTTCTCCTTCCTTCCTCTCTTTCTCCTCCCTCTTCCCCCCCCCCAGAAAAACATCCCCATCAGTTGGGTTGGGCTGAGATAGAGGGACGGACCCAGAGTCACCCATCCGAGAGTCACCCATCCGGCTTTCATGCCTAAGGCAGGATTCGAACTCCCATCTCCTGGTTTCTGCCTTGGGGCTCTTGGGGGCCTCCCTTCCACCCTTTCTTCTCCCCACTGAATCCCCTTTGGCCTGTCCTCGCCAAGGGGTACAGCCTGAAGACCCCGGCTCATCTTGGCCGCTGTCCTTGCTTCAACCTGCCTTGAGATGCTTTGATTCGCATCTTATACCGCTAATTTCCCAGCATGACGGGATTCAAGGCAGCTGAGCAGCCAGGGCAGCGAGTCCTCAGCTTAGCGGCCGTTCGAAGTTGCGACAGCACTGAAAAAAAGCAAGTTAACGGCCATTTTTCACCCTTAACGACTGTGGCAGCATCCCCGTGATTTACATTCGGATGCTTCACAACCGACTCACATTTATGACAGTTGCAGCGTCCCAGGTGTGTGTGTGTGTCACGTGATCCCCTTTTGCGAACTTTTCACGAGCAAAGTCAGTGGGGGGGGGAACCTGGATTCATTTAACGACCGGTTTGCTAATTTAACCACTGCAGGGATTCACTGAACAAACTGGCAAGGAAAGTCGTGAAAGGGGGCAAAACTCACTCGACAAGTTTCTCACTTCAACATTTCTCACTTGACGTAAATTTTGGGCTCCATTGTGGTCGTATGTTGAGGACTGCCTATCTTCCACGCTGTGCAAGAAAATCAACTTGGCCGTTCCCAGGAGATGGCTGAACAGCCTTTCTTGCAAACTTCCCATTTCTTCTTCGTAAAAATCTCCAGTGATGGAGCGCCCAAGATTTCTGGTGGCAAGCTGTTCCACTGGTTAATTGTCCTCACTATTAGGAAATTTCGCCTTAGTTCCAGGTTGCTTCTCTCCTTGATTGGTTTCCATCCATTGCTTTTTGTCTTGCCTTCTGGTGCTTTGGAGAACAGCTTGACTCCCTCTTTGGGGCAGCCCCTGAGATATTGGAAGGCTGCTATCCTGTCTCCCCTCGTCCTTCTCTTCATTAAACTAGAATCAATCAATCAATCAGAATAAAGCGGGAAGGGACCTTGGAGGTCATCTAGTCCAACCCCCTGCTCAGACAGGAAATCCTATACCATTTTGGACAAATGGCTGTCCAGTTTCTTCTTAAAAACTTCCAGTGTTGGAGCATTCACTGCTTCTGGAGGCAAGGAGTTCCACTGGTTAATTGTCCTCATTGTCTTGAAATTTCTCCTTAGTTCTAGGTTGCTTCTCTCCTTGATCAGTTTCCATCCGTTGCTTCTTGTCCTGCCTTCAGGGGCTATGGAGAACAGCTTGACTCCCCTCTTCTTTGAGGCAGTCCCTGAGATATTGGAACACTGCTATCCTGTCCCCCCTCGTCCTTCTCTTCATTAAACTAGACATACCCAATTCCAGCAACCGTTCCTTGTATGTTTTAGCCTCCAGTCCCCTGATCATCTTTGTTGCTCTTCTCTGCACTCTTTCTAGAGTCTCAACATCTGTTTTTAACTATGGTGACCAAAATTGGATGCCATATTCAGTTGTCATGGTTGTCCCGAAGGTGTTCCCCCCCCCCCAAAAAACCAGTAGGACTTTCTAGTTTTGTTTTTTTTTCCTTGAAAATGTTTCGCTTCTCATCCAAGAAGCTTCTTCAGTTCCTTTTGAAAAGCACCTTTGGGTCCCTTCTCCAAAAACAAAATCTGGAGTCAAAGACTGGAAATTTTTAAGAAGAGATGGACGGCCATTTGTCCGAAATGATATAGGGTTTCCTGCCTGAGCAGGGGGTTGGACTAGATGACCTCCAAGGTCCCTTCCAACTTTATTATTATTATTATTATATATTAGTAGTATTAGTAGTAGTAATAATAATAAAGTTGGAAGGGACCTTGGAGGTCATCTAGTCCAACCCCATGCTCAGGCAGGAAACCCTATATTTAGTGAGCATTCAGAGTTATAGCGGCATCAAAAAATGCGAGTTGTGACTGCTTTTCACAGTTATGACCTTTGCGGCCTCCCCAGGATCCTGTGATCAAAATTCAGATGCTTGGCCACTGGTTCATACTTACGACGGTTGCCATATTCCGCAGTCACCTGATCCCCTTTTGCGACCTTCTGACAAGCCAAGTCAATGGGGGAGGGGGGGAAGCCGGATTCACTTAACGACCGGGTTACTAAGTGAACAACTGCAGGGATTCCCTTCACGACGGTGGCAAGCAAGGTCGTAAAATGGGGCAAAACTCACTTAGCAACTGTCTTAGCGATGGAAATTTTGGGCTTGGATTGGTCTTATAAGTTGAGGACCGCTCGTATGCCTTCCTCAGAGGGTTGTTGTTGTTTTTTTGAGGGGGGGGCAGGTTAGGTTTCCTTTTTCCCTTGTGAAATCTGCCCCTGTTCCATATCCCCATTAAATGTCGGTGGAGATTCTCTGTCATCCAGGTCGTGGCTGTCCCGAAGGTGCTTTTTCACGAGGCAACTGGACTTTCTTGTTTTCCTTTGAAGACGTTTCGCTTCCCATCCCAGAAGCTTCTTCAGCTCTGACTGGAGGGTGGGGAGGGGAAGGATTTATACTCCTTGCAGAAAGCCAGTCATTTGCCTTCTTTTTAGACCAGTGGTTCTCAACCTGTGGGTCGGGACCCCATTTGGGGTCGAATGACCATTTCACGGGGGTCGCCAAACAACGCAGTCCGCCATTTTTTCCCCCTTTTCCTTAGCTGTGCTACTCCCTTTTATTCTATTGGCTTTTGAAAGCCAATAGAATAGACTCTCTTGAATAGAGTCTAATTCTATTGGCTTTCAAAAGCCAATAGGAATTGTCCAGGCTGTCTCTGCCCTGCTGAGCCCGCCAAAAGTCCCATTCTGCAAACGGGGCCGCACCAGTTGAGTAGTCCTCGACTTACGACCGGTTGAGTAGTCCTCGACTTACGACCGGTTGGGGGTCGCGGCATTAAAAAGGTTGAGAACCACTGTGTTAGAGTCGTTGAGGCCACTTGGAGGTTTACCCTTGTCCTCAGAGTCACCTGAGCAGTGCAGATGGGTGTGGAGCCATCTTGGAACTACCGAAAGGACCGCGTTGTAGACTGGACATAGATGATGTTGTGTCCCTCCCCCTCTGTTGAAGGAGGTCTGTTCAGTCTTGACCTAGATGGCTTCTTTGACCCCTCTTTCAAACCAGCGGTCCTCTTTGTCCAAAATGTGGACTTTGCTGTCTTCGGATGAGCGGCCTTCGTCTTTTAAATGCAGATGGTCTGCTGAATTTTGTCCTGATGGGTTTGTTCTGCTAGGTTGTGCCATGCGTTTGTGAAGTTGTTGTTTCCACCACCATCACCACACCCCCGATGTACAGATCTGCCACTATGCCGGGGTCCTCAAACTTGGTCCTTTTATGACTTGTGGACTTCAACTTCCAGAATTCCTCAGCCAGTGTGCTTGGCTGAGGAATTCTGGGAGTTGAAGTCCACAAGCAGGGGTCTTCGAACTTGGCCCTTTTATGACTTGTGGACTTCAACTCCCAGAATTCCTCAGCCTGTGTGCCTGGCTGAGGAATTCTGGGAGTTGAAGTCCACAAGTCATGAAAGGGCCAAGTTGGAAGACCCCTGCCCTATGCATATCCCCACTAGTTTCCCTCGACCTGCTT